AGCTCAACAAAGAATGTTCTTTCTGTGCCAACTCAGAAAGCTGAAACTGCCCAAGGAACTGCTGATCCAGTTCTACAGAGGAATTATTGAGTCTGTCATCTGCACCTCTATAAATGTCTGGTTTGGCTCTGCAACCCAACAAGAGACACAGACTTCAGAGGATCATTAGAACTGCAGAAAAAAGAATTGCTACCAACCTGCCTTCCATGGAGGACCTGTATACTGCACGAGTCAAAAAGAGGGCTGGGAAAATATACAGACCCCTCACATCCTGGACATAAACTGTTTCAACTCCTACCCTCAAAATGAACAGAACAACTAGACACAAGAACAGTTTTTTTCCCAAACGCCATCACTCTGCTAAACAAATAATTCCCTCAACACTGTCAAACTATTTACTAAGTCTGCACTACTATTAATCTTCTCATCGTTCCCACCACCCATCTCCTTCCACTTATGACTGTATGACTGTTACTTTGTTGCTTGTATCCTTACGATTTATATTGATATTGTTTCCTGATTGCTTAGTTGTACCCTATGACTATCATTAAGTGTTGTACCTTATGATTCTTGATGAAGGTATCTTCTCTTTTATGTACACGGAGAGCGTATGCACCAAAGACAAAATCCTTGTGTGTCCAATCACACTTGGCCAATAAAAAAAAAATCTATTCTATTCTATTCTAAAGCCATGTTTTGAAACACATATTTGACAAAGCCTATTTGCAGGTGTCAACCAGTGTGAATGGCTTATGGGGCCAATTTTCAGAAGAGCCAGATCTGTGGAAAGTTCTCCTGTCCTTATTGCCTGTGTGATCCTATATCCATACATTTGATCAGTAGAGAGATCCTTTACAACACTGTCGATCAATGAAATGAGAGGTTCACCAATTTAAACTGTGGTGAATGAAGGATCAATTGTAGTGTTGCCACTTTTACCTGCCCATTTGTTGTTGGACAAAGTTGGCTAGTCCTTTTCTGAATCTCTGTGATGGTTTCAAACACTTCTAGAAATGGAAAAAACGCAGAAACCTTTAACCTTCACACAAATGGAAAGGTAGCACTTTTACTCATTACTTTTAATAAAGAAATAGCTCAGGGAAGGGAGGCCTGCCTTAGAAGAAGTCATGTCTCTCCAACAGGTATTTCAGAAAAAGTCACTAAGAGGAAGAGAGAGAAAACACAACAATAAATGAGAAATCTGCATAATTATACCTTATAAATAAATTTGTAAGACAAAAACTTTTACTCATTATTTATTTATCTATATGTCATGAATTGTTTGAAGAGGGAACATGACATATTTTGGCAATGTTTGTTTTAAACATATATGTCCAATTTAGTGTAGTGGTTAAGGTGCTGGCCTAGAAGTCAGGAAACTGGGAGCCGGCTGGCTGAGTTTGAATCAGTCACTCTCTCAGCCCAACAAACTTCACAGGGTTGCTGTTGTGAGGAGCATAGGAGGCGGTAAGAGTATTAGGAATGTTCACTGCCTTGAATTACTTACAAAGTAATAAAGATGGAATAAAAAATAATGAATAAATAAATGATTGTTGGGCTCCTGCTTTACTACAAAGATGCACCCCAAACAATGGAAAAGTTTTTTTACAACAGGTAAGAGCTACAAGGTGGAAAATCCTAGACGGTCTGGGCAGCCTGGGGAAGCTCAGCAGGTCTGCGGTTAGGCAAAGGGGGCCTCTGGGAGGGCAGCTGAGCTGGGAAGGTTCCTGGTGAAGAAGATGGAATGCTGGGAATTCCCTTTCTGCATTCCGTTTCTTTACTGCCTTTCTCAACTCTTAACCAGCTGTATTAGGACTGTCCTTGGGCTGAGTGCTGAGAGCTGGGGAAGCGACTTCTCTTCTTATCTTCAGAGAGGCTTCTGGGGGGCTGTCTGGCAGAGGGGAGAATCCATTGCAGTTTGATGGGAGTTGGCAGAGAGATGAACTCGGTTGGCAAAGGGGGGATGTGCAGTCAAGGACGCTCTTCTCAGCGGGTCTCTCTCTAGGGAATTAAAATGCCTCTTAATTCTCTTCTCCACCATGTCAATGCAGTCCTCTGTTTTGGGAGGCTTTCTTTACCAGCCAAGCATGTCCCCTCATTTGTCTGCATTTGGTTAAGCTACAGTTCCCATTCTACCGCAGCCCTTTTGCCAGGCCTGGGTCTCCGTCCCCCCACCCTCGACATTTTGCCTTGAGAGGGAGGTTTGCTGATTGCAGCTCATCTGGGCGTGCAGAGCCTCTCCCACTGCTGACAGGAGACCAGAGGAGACTGTGGGACACAGGCAGCTACACCCAGCTCCCCAACATGGCATCTCCAGTGAGGGCTGCTGTCAGACACACCGTGTGCTGCTGTCATGTTTACAAGGGCTGATTTCATCAGGGCAGCCTGCTGGGAGTCAGCTGGCAGAGGCGTGGAATAAAATGGAGGGAAGAGAAACATGGCTATCTCTGGCAGCCTCTCCCCCCTCCCCCACAGCCACATATGCAGCATGTCTTAATTCCTGGCAGAAGATATTGTTCTCCAAAGGAGCACCATGACAGGCTGGGGACCCTTGCGCCTTCCTTGCTCCAGTTCTGGGGCCTCTGAGGCTACTTCCGCAACAAATCAAAGCCTGAGATGTAGCCTCTGACTTTGGGGGCCTTTGGCTACAGGGGAAGAAAGAGGCAGCGGCTCCTAGATCAGACTGATTGAATTGATCCCTCATCAGGGTGGGTGGGGAGGAGGATTGGAAAGGATCCAGCAAATGAAGGGCATCTCACCTCTGCTGAGGGAGCAGAAAAGGTAGGTACTTTGAGAAAGCGAGGGAGGGAGAGGGAGGGGAAGCCTTTTACCATCTGCACCATTTGCTGAAATCAGCTCATCAGGCAAGATGGTGGCACAGGGCAAGTGCAGAGGGAGGCAGGCCCAGGGCCCAGCAGAGGGCAAGGACTGCCCTGAGGGAAGACTCTGCCCTCTCAAGAGCACCCCTTCTCTCACAGCAACCCTGGCAAGACCTCCCTGGCAGCTGCTGGGATGAGCCACCCTCGGAGGCCTTGGGGCTCTGCTGGCTCTAGGCCCTGCCTGGTGGTGCTTCATCTGCAGGTTCAGAGTCCACAGCTCTTGCTTCCGCCACCCAGAGAGGATTGGGGCATGTTCCCATTTCACAGATGCTTGCTTTGCTTTTTTAATTCATATGCTTTTTTAATTTATATGCTGCCCTTCTCCTGAGACTCAGGACGGCTTACAATGCCTTCATACTTTTGTATATTTATACAAAGTCAGCTTATTGCCCCCACAATATGGGTGCTCATTTCACCTACCTTTGAAAGGATGGAAGGCTGAGTCAACCTTGAGCCTGGTGAGATTTGAACTTGCAGTAATTGCAAGCAGCAGATGTTAATCTGTTAATAACAGTGCTTTAGTCCACTGTACTACAGGCTCGCTTGAGGAATTAACACAGTAAGAGAGATTGTCCTGCTCAAGAAAACCTAGTTTCAAGTAAAGTAAGTACCATACTTTTCAGAGTATAAGATGCACTTTCTCTCCCCCCCCCAAAAGTGGGTGAAAATGATGGCATGTCTTATACACCGAATGTTGCCGAAGCCCTGCCCACCCACCGGCCCCCACCCTTCGACCATTTTTGGCCTCCGCTCATCGCATTTTCAGCCTCCGCATGCCCCGTTTTAGACCCATTCCAGATTGCAGGGATCGTCACAGCACTTCACTGCCGATCACCGCCTCTATGCGTCGCATTTTTGGCCTCCATGCGTTGCATTTTTGGCTGGTTCCATGCAGTGGGGATCAGTGGTGGCAGGGAACAGGTCTAAAACGGAGCGGGCAAAGGCCAAAAATGCAACGCACGGAGACACTGATGGGCTGTGGCGATCCCCGCAGCCTGGAACATCTGATTGGTGGTATTCCGGGAGGCCAATTCAACTGCCAATCAGTTGTTCGTGCTAAATCAGGCTGCAATAACATGCTGAAGCTTAGCAGGCTGTTTGCTGTTTTCTGCAAGGATGCTAGCCAGATGAATACCAATGGATGCTGGTAGGCAGAGGAAGAAATTTTTTTTTCTTGTTTTCCTCTCCAAAAACTAAGGTGCGTCTTATACTCGAGTGTCTTATACTCTGAAAAATATGGTAATATTTATTGACTAAACGGGAAGCTGCAATCCTGTACACCACAGTGTTCATCTCTAACACCACTTCCATTGGTAAGGAAAGTGCCAGCAAAAAGGGCTTAGAAACTCAGCCAATCTAGAACGCAGCTCCTCCAGGAGGGGTTCCTGTTGTCTGAACAAGCACAGCGGGTCCCAGGCTGGCTTCCAATAAGCTGCTTCTGGTTCAGTCCATAGTGCTGGTCATTGTCATTGTTTCTTGCAAAAACAAATCAGATTTGTAGCTGTAAATGGCACCTGTGGTGGATTAACAACAATATCCCAGTGCTCCTTTGCCTTCAGAAAACATTCCATCTTTGCAGCCCAAATAAAGTAGTTCTGTCCCAAACAAGGCAGAGAGCTCTCCTTCAATTCAATAGCCATCCTGCAAGCCTTCTCTGCCTTGTTCTCACATAGGTAGTCTTTCAGCTCAAATTACAATTCACTCTTCTGTGTGCTCTAGGCCCATCACCTGTCAGAGTTTCTTGCAAAAATCAAATCCAGAAGCACACACAGATAACCTGATTCAGCAGGATTCATTATCTTCTTTATATACACAATAATACATGAAGTAAGTTTACAATACCAACAGCAGATTCAGTTTCATTTCAGCAGAGCAGACAGCATGTAGACACTGGTTTCAGTTTTGTTTCTCTGCACAGAATCAGAAGCTGGAGACTAAGACACGCCCTGGCTCCAGTCTGTCTCAGCTCCCAATTGGCTGATTTAGTTGCTATGCCTATTCATTGGCTGATCTTCTTACCTTGTCTTCCCAGTCATGAATATCCTGAGCCATCACCTGGACAGCCCTAACAGATTAACAGAGTTGGAAGGGACCTTATAGGTCATCTAGGCTACTCCCCCCCACCCCCGCCTCAAGCAGGAGACCGGCTCCTCCAGCAAGAATCAGCTACCCCATTGGGCAGGGATAGTCTTCCTGAACTCTGAACTTCTGAATTCTGTGAAAAAGTCTCCTTCCTGGGGAGCAGCAGCTACTCCACGGATGGAATGGCTTCCTCCAGGAGCAGGTTGCAACCCCATCAGGTGTTACTTTCTGGAAGAAGGAAGAGTTAGTTAGTCCAGAGGGACTACAGTGCAAGAACATGTTGCCGAAGCCAGTCAGTTTTTTGTGGTTCACAGTTCAGGATTACTTGTTTATTTTTATCCTACCTTTATTATTTTTTATAAATAACTTGAGACAGAGAACATACCTAATACTCCTTCCTTCTTCTATTTTCACCACAACAACAGCCTTGAGAAGTGGACTGGGCTAAGTCACCCAGTGGGCTTTCATGTCTAAGGCAGGACTAGAACTCACTGTCTCCTGGTTTTTAGCCTGGTGCTTTAACCATTATCTTAACCACTTAATCTGTAACATGGTTTGTTAGGATTTAAGTTACCGTTATATTTTTTCTAGTGAATTTTTAAATTATGTTGAGTCCTTCTTAGTTGATGTAAATATTGCAAGTCTGCGTTATTTTAATAGCAGCACTTCTTATATTTTGACAAATAAATTCGTGCCCCACAGAGGACTGCTGCTTGATTATTTTGTCTCCCCAGCGATTTAAGAATAACAGCGCCTGGTTCTTGGCCAATACAAGCTTGGCCGTCCCTGATTTCTGAGAAGGTCTCTTGGCTGCATAGATCCCAGGAGGCTTCTGGCAAAAACAAAGCACTGGCTACTCAGAGTCCAATTATAAATATGTGCCCCCCCTCTCCCCAAAAACATGACAAATAAATGCTGCGGTAATAAGGAGCATCCCGAGAGCACATCAGTGGTCTCTGCTTAATTGTTTTCGTAATTGGCCACATTAAATAAATTAGGTGTGTTTTGAGACTGTGCCCATAACTTCATTTCTTTAGCAAAGTTATATACCATCCCACTACAATAGCTGGTCAGTTAAGTACATTGAGTTTATAAAATATGGAAGGAATGCGGGAAGAAAAGGCCACAGCAAAATCCTCCTCCTACTCCATGACACAAAGTGAGGTTGGCTGCCTTCAAGAGCCCAACACCTCTGCTCTGCTCGGGATTGCACTGAAGCCCTCCTTCCGAGCCTCCTCCTGACCCACTTCCTTCTTGGGAACTTCCTTCTTTGCACAGGAAAACGTGGAAAACAACAACCAGCCACTAAATGGGGCAGGAGTGGTGTGGCATCTCCACAAATGCGCCGTCTTTGGCTGGGTCTTTTGGGAGTTGCAGACGATCTAAGAGCAGATTGCAACAAATTCAACTGGATCGTTACTTGACACCCAGACTCGCTTGATAGTGGGGTGGGTATCATATAATTTTAATAAATAGACAATAAACCTGGAGGCTACTTACCAGCAGCCTGGCTAACATGGCCTGTTATGGGAGGGATGGGAGCAACTGCAGGAGCTCGTGAAGATCCCCTCTTGCTCTTGAAATCTAAACCTTAGGAAAGAGATGGAACAATTCGCACAACAGAAATGAGGTATTGATATTAGAAAAAAATTAGGACCCAAATAGGAATAAACAATAACAATAATTCTAAAATCCATTACCATAGAAATTAGCAGGATAATGGCTGGTGCACCAGAAGAGAAGGAGCCGGGAAAGCTGGGGTGGATGGGTGGGGCTCACCTTTATTCCAGAACGGGGCAGCAAAGCTTGTTCCACGAGGGAGTCCACGCAAACCGTGGCAGCAACTTCTGCCTTGCAGGAGCGATGGACGTTACAGACGACCGGACTCAGGCCAACCTTCCAATAGCTCATAAAGGGACTACATTGGAAACTGCTGATCCTATAGAAACACGCGGTGTGACACGAAAAGGATACTCTGTCCTACCCAGGACCCTTTTCTTCCTTGGGGGGGGGGGGGGGGGCGGCCTCTCGAAATTGGCAGTGGGGCACTGGGGGCGGCCTGGGCAATGGGCGGCCAAGCATTCAACCCCCTCCTCCTGCAGCGCTGCTCTGAAACGGCCAGGCAACTGTATCCCCGACAGCACTAGTCTCCAGAGCGCCTCTTTCCGCAGGTCCCGCGAGGGGCGGCCGGGCCGAGGGGGGGCACAACAGCTTTGCGCCTCTGGCCCTGGTCTCCTGCCCCGTTGGCCTCCTCCAGGACGCGTGGGGCGTCAGCTCGGCCGGGTCCAATCCCCGCGCCCTCTGGGGCTTGGCTGGGGCGCCAGCCCTCCTTTGCTCCATCAAGCTGGAATAAGCGCCAGTGGGAGAGGACTGGCTAACACCCCCACTTCTCACCCGACGGTCATGGGCTGCGAGGCAGTGCTCGAACTTTGCCGATGACGATGCCTGGCAAGAAGGAAGATAGATGCGATCCGTCGGGCGGTTCGGGATTAGCCTCGCTTCAGCGTCAGAAATATTTGTCGCATTCCGAGGCCCTGACCTGGCCTAAGTTGACAGGGGAGGGGGAGGAGGGCTGCCTCTCCAGCCAGAGCCGAACCCCACCGCCATTTCCCCGCCCGAAGATGGGTCACGAAGAGGAGGAAAAACAAGGAGGAGGAGGGTGGGGGAGGGTAACTCCATTCTGCCCTTTGTCCGGGATTGGGCAAAACCGTTGGCCCCAGGATGCCCAAGGGCCGTCAGTCCCACTGAGCGGATCTGCGGTTGCCCCCCTCGATCAAGGCATCTCGCGGGGCCACCTCGGGCACAGCAGGCCAAAAATCCCCACACATTTCCGCCATTCCCGCCACACGGCAGCTGGAGCTGGGCTGTGGAATTTGTCCGTGCAGGAAAGTTGTCATCTAGGCGACACTCCCCCTCCCCATTCCCAGTGTGGCGGTGGCCTCCGCCCGTTCCTAATCGCTCGTGTAAACTGCCCATCTATCACTGCACGCGGGGATGAAAGGCTCCGGCCTGGAGAAGCGAGCGAGTCCAGGCAGAGTGACAGCTGCATTTAACTTTCCGCGGCCGGCCTGGGACAAACATCTTGGCGGGCGACACATCGCTACCCGAAACCGAGGTGAGAGGCGAGAGCCCGTGTCGCACTAGATGCCGGGCCCGGCCTGGTCGTTCGAGTTTGTCCGGATGATCTTTGGCCTAAACGCGGGAAGCCGCCTTGTCACCGTCGTCCCAGGACGGGAGTCTTCCTGCGCGGCGCTGAGATGGAGTCCCTTTCGTGTTTCGCAGCCAGCCGGCGGGCCGAGGTCTCCCCAAGCGCGCTGGAGAACGACTGTCTCCTTGCGTCCGGTGCCGTCAGGAGGAAAGCGCCCTGGCCCTTCATACGTTTCTTGGCGGGGAAGGGCCGAGCAAGGGAGCAGCTCCGGAGCTCCCGCCGGAATCTGTCTCGGCAAAAGGAAAAGAATCCGGTCTGGTCTTCGACGCTCGTTTTCTAGTCCCGTCCCCCCCCCCGCCCCCCCATAGCCCCCCATAGGGGCGAAGCAAAGGGAGGGAGGCGAAGAGAGCGGACCGGCGGCCTTGGGCTTCCTCGCAGCGAATCGTGCAGATAGGTCGGGGCACCTCGGGGAAACCGGCTGGGAAACGTGCAGCAGTCTTGAAAGTCGGTACGGCATTTGGGCTGGAGCGCAGCGGTTTAGCTGCGAGGGACCGAGGCCGCCGCAGTCCTCTTGCTCTTTCTCCCGGGGCCCAGAGAGGCGCCTGGCCTTCGACATTTCTCTCGCTGGTCTCCGCACTTTTCATGGAGCTCCGTCTGCGCTTGTGGGATAGAGAGCAGAGCAGGAGGCTGGCGCCCAGAAGTTAGGCCGGAAGCCGGGAAGCCTCGGCGTGTCTTGCAAATGTTAGAGGGGAAAAATCGGACCAAACCCGAAGCCGATGCCTGACTAGGACGGTAGAGAACCCTAGTAGGAACTCTCGGGCACTAGAAATCGGAGAAGACACCTACAAATGGCATTTGCGTTTTTCACTCTTCCCTTCCGGTCTTTGCAGCCGGGACAGCAGCTGCGGAGTTTTCGGTCTTTGTGGAAGACTCTCCAAGAGGGGCCCCCCTCGCCGTCCCCTGCACAGATCTCGTGTCTACGTAGTTCCAAGGGAGCAAAGCCTTTTAGAGAAGATAGAGGCGGGGTGGGGGAGGGGTGGCAGAGGAGGAAAAGGGGATCTGGTGGACCTGCCGATCTGTTCGCTCTCCTGCTACGGGATGGGGAGGGGGGCGAGTCGGAATAATGCGGGCGGGCGGTGGCCATTGGCACGCTGCCCTGAGCCGGTCTTGCCCTGTTCAGGTGTAGCGCCAACAGCTCAGGGTGGGCATATGGGAACAGGGCAATGCAGCTTCCATGCAGTGGGAGCTTTGGAGAAAGGGCGCCTGCGTCTCTTACATGCCCGCTTCTCCCTTGAAAGGTCGAAGGAGGAAGGGTCCCCTCTCCCGCCCCGAGTTAGCGGTCCAAGCTCCATTGGCCCGAAGGACCGGAGGGGAAGGGTGCGTCTGGCCGAGAGGGGGCCTGCGGGCCAGCGTACAATTTTCCGCCTGTTGTCGGCTGCCCTGCTCCCTCCCGACGGTTCTCCCTGCTCCCGGAAGACACGGCCTCTCCGCAGCTGGCCGAGGAGGGCACCGGCAAGGGAAGAGGTTTACAAGCTTGCGGGCTCATGGAGTTATTTGTCTCAGGTTTTTACGGCCTGCCGGGACGGTGAAATCCAAAACCTGCCCAAGAATCCTGCGCTGCGGGTCTTAATCACTCCCAGACGCGGCGCTTTTATGGGCCATTTAGAGCGAGGGAGCCCATAAAACTGCAGGCAAGTCCGGAGCAGAGTCCGGAGCAGGGGAGGAACACGGGGTGCCGCCTCCGGTGGGATGGAGGCGCCCCAAGAGGCCCCTTGCTCGGGAAGCCTGGCCTGGCCTGGCCTCACCACCGAAGAGCTCCCGAGCCGCCCAGCTGGCCCTCAGCTTCAGGCAGGCTGCCGGAGGGACTTTGAAGAGCTCTTTATGGCGAAGGGGGGGGGAGTCCCTTTTAATAACTCCCTTTTACTGGGATATTGCACGTCTGCCTTGCATTAGCATCGGCGGGAGGGGGGAGGGTTGAGCGCCCAGCTGGGCCACAGGCGGCGAGGCTACCCAGGCAAGGAGGGCCTGATCCACGCCAACCTGAGCAGCGCCGGCGCCGGCCGTCTTTGGCCTGGCCCTAAAGGCGCGCAAGAGCGGTTCCACCGAAAGGCGGCAAGGAAGGAACGGCGCGAGGTTCCCGAACGGGCAGCGCAAAGAGGAAACCGAAAAGGCGGTGGGAGCCCCAGGCTGAGGGAAAAATAGCAGCACAGCCTAGACAAATATGCGGCCTGGGACCTCTCCTCAGTGCCTCCGGGATCCGCCAGAGCAAGAGCTGAGGTTCCGGGGGAGAGGCGAATCGACGGAGCCTGCGGGGGAAGGAGCGGGAGCAGGGGGTCGGCAACGGGACCCTCTGAATCGGCCTCAGGAGAAGAAACAAGGCGCGGCTAAAAATAACAAACGTTAAACAAGCGGGGAGGGGGGAGGGAATAACTGACCCTTGGGCAACAAGCGGAGTCCCGGGTGCGGCCTGAAAGGCTGAAGCCAAAGCGGCGCTTCTGTCTGCTTCGCTTTCGCACCGATCCCCGATCGAGACCGAGGAAACTGTTGGGAACTGAACCGGATCTCTCCGACGCCAAGCGACTCCTTTGCAAGGCCCGGCGATAGACAGGGCTGGAAGGCTGTGACACAGGACCACAGAACAACGGCGCGCCCCTCCCGATCCCTCCTGCAAAGAAAGGGGGGGAGAAAGGGGGCTTCGCCGCTGCAGGCTAAGGGCGTTAGGAATGGCCTCCGCCTCTCCAGCAGAGCTAGAGACGTGGGTCGGGCGGGGACGCGAGCTGCCAAGGGACCGCGACTCGGCGTTGGCCTCACCGAGGGAATTGCGGTCGTTGAGAGACCCGGAGAAGGTAGCCCGTTCCCTGGAAGAGTGGGAGGGAGGGAGGAGGTGCCGATCCGCCGGCTCTCGCGGGACTGCGGATAAGCAAAGTGGGCATGGAAGGCGCTACCTGGACGACCGAAGGGGTCTTGTTCCCTGGAACCACCCCAGTGCAGCTTGGAGCGACGAGGCGGTGATTCCTTCCAGAACGACGAGGCGGTGGCCTGAGAGCAATGGAGGCCTAACGGCGACGGTGGCCTGAGAAGCGGGGATCCCTTTCCTTCCCTTCCTGCCCCCGTTCCCCCACGCCTCTTCCCCCCCCCAGACCCAGGAACTTTGCTAACACTTCGCCGCTGGCTCCTCCTACGCCGTGCCCAGCCGATGGCCCAGCCTGTGCGCCTTTAAGGCTGGAGCGCCCGAGTGGGCTTGGTTGCGACTGTAAGGGTTCGCCAACGGCGAGAGGCGCAGAAGACCCGACGGGCGCCCCCCCCCCCGCGCCACAACAGAGGCGGCCCAGAAGGGGGATGGGCGGGGGCATTGTGCCACTCTGAAGGCCTAGGCCGGGGTCGAGGGCCGCTTAGCCCCATCCAGGGCTAACACGCCTGGTTTCTTGAGGCCCGAGGGCAGCCTCGGAATGACCCGCAGGGGGTGCTGAATCCTCGCCCGGCCCGCTCTGGGGCTTGGGACCTGTCCTTCCCCCTTCCCTCCCTCCCTCCCCCGGCAATGATATCCGCGAAGGAAGGGAAGGCTGTTCCCGCGCTGCCGCAGCCGGGCGCAGCAGAAGAGAGGCGCCGGAGCCCCCTGGACCACCTCCCTCTCCCTGCCAATTCCAGCAAACCTCTCACCCCCTTCAGCATCGAAGACATTCTCAGCAAACCTTCCGGGCACAAAGCCCCTGCCGCCCGCCTGCTGGAAAAGGTTGCCGGCTCGGCTGGAACCCCGCGGAACGGTGTGCCCGCTCCCGACTCTCCGCTCTGCGCCCTGGAAGAGCTGGCTAGCAAGACGTTCAAGGGGCTGGAACTCAACGTGCTTCAGGCGGCCGAAGGTAAGGGCGGTTGACCACGGGAAGGGGGGCGGGAAGAGCCGGAGGAGGCCAGGCCGCTAGTTCAGCTCCCTGCGGAACCCGGGGGTCGCTTGCTTGCAAAGGGGCTGAGGGCCTGAAGGAAGCAGGGCTGCTTCCACCTTGCACTGCCCTCGAATACCCCATCGGGGCAGCGCTCGGTGTGGAGAAGAAGCGTGGGGTGCTCGCCCGTCGCCCCACTAGTGATTTGTAGCCGCAGAATTTCTCCCATGTCCCGATCCACAAAAACAGCCCGGGTGGCGCCTTCATTCCTGCTCTAAGCCCAGTCGGTAGTCAGATTTCCTCAGGCCGCTGTTCGGACCTGCTCGTTCGGCTGAAACTCAGAAGCTCTGCCTGCTCCGACGGTATTCCGCTCCAGACTTCCCAGCGGAGCTCCGCCGCCGGCGGGCGGGCAGGGAGCTCCTGCCGGGCCGTTTTCTCCGCTTCCGCTGGGCGACCAGAAACAGACAGCTTAAGGTCCAGTCTCAGCGGGAGTAGCCGGTAATCCAAGCCGCCGAGCTCGGATGCAAGTCCCGCTATGTATTAAAGCTGGCCTCCCATGCTCCTCACCGCCACCCCCTTTCCGACCCTCCGCCTGGCGTCTTCAAGGACCCGAATTCTTTGTTCCCACATCCAGGGAGCATGATCCTGCCCGGCCTCAGCTTGGAGGCCTAGAGATCCGCGCCCAGCTCAAATCCGCTCGGGATCAACCGTTCCTTCCCATTCAGTGGGAAACTTTTAGCCAGAATCTTCATCCACTGCTTATAATCTTTTTATTCCCCAAAACAATTTTCCACCTGAATCTGTTTTAAAATGTTTACTTAAATTGTCTATCCTGACTGTAATTTAAAAAAAAACACACCTGAAGTTGATTTCATTTAAAATCATCATCGCAATTATTTCAATAATAAATTATATTTGGTATTTTAATTTAATAATAACTAATATTATTTCAGAACTTGCCGACATACAATTTAAGGTAATAAAACAAAATAATTAACAAGAGCAGCGGTGCTCAGAAATTTGTTTGGGCAGTCAAATTGAGAGATTGCTCCCTGCAAAATCTCCTTCCCAAAATAAGGATGAAATTGCAGACAACTGTGAGCTAGATGAGAGATTACTGAAGCTTAACTATAATTATTATAATCATAATATTATATTATATACAAGTACAATTATAGATATTTTTATTACATTTTTTGCACCAATGAAGTTAACTACAAATGTTTATTATGGTCTTATTTTATTATATATTAAAATATAATACACAAACACATCTAATCTTAAGAATTTATTACACATCATTAAATTATATTCACCTTATATTATTTATCTTAAATTGTTTCCCCTTTTTCTACCGGAACTTTTTAGCCATTTTAAGGGGTACTAAACCAAGGAATATTTTGCACCCCTCTTCTCTGCTCTGCTTTTATAATTATTTAGCCTTTGGCTATTTTTTTCAAAAGTGCAAATGGAAAAATGTCTCCCAAATTAATTCCTGTGCTCAGTTTTGTTTTTGTTTTTTTGTTTTTTGTTGAAAAAGGGGCAGGCAAGGTCAGCTGATTTGCGCTTCTTTTCTTCAGTCAATCAAATCAGTTGATTGCTTTAACTTCAAGCTTATTGTAAAGATCTTTGTTTTTTCATTAGGCGCTACTGAAATGCAGTCTTGGAAGGTGTTTCTGCATTTATTCTACCTAGAAATGGCTAGAAACTAGAAGGCACCAAAGAAACTTCTATTAGCTGGAGAATCTAACATTTCAGACACCGGTCAGGAGGTTGAGAAAAATTCGGCAGGAGAGACCAGCCCTTTGAGTCCTTTATATTCAGAACAAGTGCGGGATTCGCAAAACAAGGAAATCCGAGCGAGCAAATCGCTGCCGGTCGGTCTGAATCCTGCTTTGAGATTTTGGAGAGCGTTTTTTCATATTCTAGAATCAATTTCTCTAGGAACTCTTAACACATCCAGGACAGGCTTAACCCCAGCCGACCCCTAACCCCGCACTCCGGGCCAACCCCTCTTTTTCTGCCCCTCCCGGCTGGAGGATCGGGTTCCCAGGGACCGGGGACAAAAACATTTGCCCGGTTAGCAGGCGGAGGGACAGTGCCAAGGTGGGAGGCCTGGGACGGCTTTGATCCCTTCCGCCTGAAAGGTGAGAGAGATTAGTGGGTAGATTCAAGGGATTCTCCCCAGGTCCGCTTCCGAAGGGGCTGCTGCCTTCTAAGGAACGCCTGTGCCTGCCCGGGGTTTTCACCCGAGGCCTTCCGAGGAAGGGGAGGCTACAATTAAAACATGATTTTCAGGGGGGCTGAGAGCCTCTCCGCCTTCCTCCCCAAATCAAAGACAATTGGTGGGGATTAACCTTCCTTCTCGGGCCTCAGTTTGGCTCCAAATGTTCTGATCCAGACCGCTCCGGCCCCGCAATATCGGAGGAGATGCGCCGAAGGGGCCTTTCCTGCGCTCCCGAAAAGGGGTTTCGTTTTGAAACAGGAAAGAATTGTAGTCTTCGGTGGGGTGGTTTGCAAACGGGAGCGGGCTCCGGAGGGGGGCACGAGGGACCTCCTTTCCCTTTCTCCTGACGCCCGAAGGCCTCCACACCAGGAGCACAGGAATTGTAGGAGTGCTGTGACGGTGCTTGTTCCTTCCTGCCCAGGTGCCCCCCCCCATAGTTACATACACGAGGGGGACTTTCGCTCCGGGAGGCGATGCCCGCAGGCGCCCAGGGGCTTGGACAGAGGGGGGGAGGAGGAGGAGGGGGGGAGGAGGAGGAGAGGCAGCTGGTCTGGGCACTCCAACGCCCTTCTGAGTCCCTGCTCGGCTTGCCTTGGCTCTGGCCCGGCCGAGAGCGCGGGCAGACCAAGCCCCGGCTCAGAAGGTTGACCAGCCAGCCGGCCAAGTAAGCTGACCCCACAGCGGCTTCTTCTTGCTTTTCATGCAGGCCGGGACCAGCTCGGCGCCTTCGGGCCGCGCCCTCCGTCCAAAAAGCGGCGCAAGTCGCGCACGGCCTTCACCAACCACCAGATCTACGAGTTGGAGAAGCGCTTCCTGTACCAGAAGTATCTCTCTCCCGCCGACCGAGACCACATCGCGGCGCAGCTGGGCCTGAGCAACGCGCAGGTGATCACCTGGTTCCAGAACCGTCGCGCCAAACTGAAGCGAGACCTGGAGGAGATGAAGGCCGACGTGGAGTCGCTAAAGAAGTTGCCCCCCGCCGCCCTGAAGAAGCTGGCCAGCATGCCCGAGCTGGAGCCCCCGGGCGTCTCCGAACCTGCCCGAGGCCGCGGGGGCAACCTCTCCCGCACGTCGCCGCCACCCTCACCCAGCGCCTCACGCCACACCACGGACCCTTTCTCCGACGGCGAGGAAGAGGAGGAAGAGATCGACGTGGGAGACTGAGGGCCGGTGAGGGGGACGTACGGGAGGGACAATTGCCCCCTTCAGCTGCTGCCTTCCCCCTTCTTGCCTCTGGATAGCAAGGCCGCTTGAGGAGGAGTATAGGACTGGCCTACAAGACCCTGCTTCCCCCGGACTGCATCTGTCTCTCCTGGATTCCCGCAGCCACCCACCGACCCACCGCCATGCACCGCACCTTAAGCGCTCCTCCCATTCCTGATCCGCAATTCTGCATGTGCTGGACGACCGCCAGGCTTCTCCCCCTCTCCTCCCCGCCCCTTCTTTTCAGTGGAGGGGAAGTTTTGGTGCAATTTTTAAAAGTTTAATTTTATTGTTGTTGTTATTTTTCCAGCGCCCCATTGTCCCTATGGCCTCGGCTATTTTATCTGTGAGTTCGTGTCCTTCCTTGGGTGAGGCGCCACCGGGGCACTTGAGAAACAGGAGAGTGGGTGACATGGAGCCGCTCGCCTCCTTTCGGAGCCGTGGTGGGGCTCTTGAGAGATCCGAAGTCGGCATCGCTGGGCCTGCAATCCGGCCTACCCAGCCCTCCAGGAACTGATGGCAACCCGGCCTTCTGCCCCTCCGCCGCTGCCCCTCCCCCATTTTTAGGTCGCGCGTGCGTGTACATATTTGGAATAAAAGGACATACTTGATACCAAACTCGCTGCCAGCATTTGTGTGCCGACGGGGAAGTCGGGGGAGGGGGGAGCCGAAAAACGAAAGTTGAGGTGCTGCAAGAGTCGAAGAAATGGCGGAGGCCAGAACCACGCCGTTGGGGAGTGGCCGGGGGATCGGGGCCCGACCCTTTCTTGGTGTCGGTAGAAGAAAGGTTTGGAATCTCCTCTGGTTCAGCCGGACGGGGTCAAAGCCCTCGGGGAGAAGGTCTCGGGGATCTCTGCGATCTCAGGGTTGGCCTGGATCCCGGCTGGGGGTTTGCAGGCAGAAAGCAGTTCCGAACTGAAACAGCCTCGCAGGAAGCCAAACGATCGGGGCGGGGAGGGCTCCCTAATGAAGAAAAATGGAGCCGAGGCCCCGAAAGAAGCTGAGCGGGCGGGGCTCCTCTCCCGCTCCTCCCCGCCGCGCCTTCACCCAGAACAATTCAATTAGCCGCCGGGAGCCGGCTCTGCCATCTGCTCTGCCGGTGAAAGAGAGCAACCCTGCCCCACCGAGGGACGGAGAAGGCAGGGAGCGACGACCCAAATTGCTGGTGGAGTCCCCCAGGAGAGGCGGGGTCGTGAACTAGACGCTCGGCAACCTGGGATGCCATAAGCCGGGAGCCAGGCAGCCTCTACCCCGGAACGCGCGATCCTGCTCCGCGAAGGCAAGCCCCAAAGGTCCGCCGGTCCGCCCCACGTGTCCCCCTCCGCGACCCGATCGCCAGGGACCCCGCTTGGCTTCGGGACCGGCGACGTTTGCCGCGGGGAGGCCGGACGGGACGGGCTTCCGGCCATCGGGGCTAGACTGCGGGAGGCGAGGGGGGGGAGCTGCGGCATCCGCGCTTGCGACCTGGCTGGCAGAAGGGCTGCACTGGAAGCCCCACTCGCCCGTTTCCCAAGGAGGATTGCCAGAGGGGGTCGGCTGCAATCGAAAGGAATGCCTGGAGGGGAGGGCTAGAGGAACGCCGCAGCTGACTCAGAACCCAACCCAGCCAACGCCTGCAGGCAGCTCCCCGGTTCTCGTCGTCCGAAAGCAGGAGGCCCAGCGTCGCGGAGAATCCCCCGGCAAGAGCAGCGGAGGGTTGTCCTTCCTAGACAACCCTCGGCCAGATGGACGAGGGCAGGCGGGGGGCGGCTTCCAAACGCCGGATTTCCCGAAGAAAAAGTCCGGCACGAGCAGCCGGGGCGGAGCCCCTCTCTTCCCTTCATCCGGAAGGCCCGGGCCAACGGCTCGCTTCGCCTGTCCAGACAATCCACCATCTCAGAGGGATTGCAAGGCAAGCAGGCAGGCAAAGTCGTTTGCTCAGTCACGAAAATATGGAAATAGCAAAGCTGAATATTCTGAACTAATTCGAGTTGTACGGCCAAGGGAAGCGCCCGGTTTCTCTACCCAGAACTGCCGGGAGAGAAGCTGCACAAGCCAGACACAAAGGGAGGCCCGGGCCGGGCTCTTCTTCGAGGCGGCTGCCTGGCTCTTCCTCGACGTTCAGCCCCGGGTCCTCAGGCCAGAAGGCTTCTTCCTGCTGCAAGGTGGGGGCGGTGGGGCTTGTGGAGCGGGCTCGAGGCCCTCGGATGTTTATGGCTGCCCCAGAAGAAGGGCGAGGCAGAGCAGCGGGGAAAGGCCACCTGGCAAAAACCAGAGGAGCTCAAGGGGGCAAGTGGGGAGGGGGAAGCCTTTAGGCGTCTCTTTGTTCCACAATGGTTTTGCCCACAGTAGAAACGAAATGTTCCTCCTTGTGGTCTCCCTGCAGGTAAAGGACGTTCATTGGACAGGAATGGGTCTGGCACAGATGTACATAGGCATCTGCCCAGGTGCCCTTCCTTTTCCTTAAGGAGGCAGCCTGTCTGAATCAAGGATGCAAAAGGCGTGTGTGTGGGGGTGGGGGGTGGGGGGTGTGGTACAGCCTTCTTGTGGAACTGCTGGAATGTGGAATGGCAGGACAGTGGTGGGTCTTCAGGCAGCTCATGGACCCTCTGAATCCCCCCCCCTTTTCCTGCTAGCCTAAGGGCCTGGCAAGAGCCTGGCCACATCCCAATATCTCCTTATTCAGTTGTCTTAACAATGAGCTAAATGTGCTAATATTGTTTCTCCTCTGGCAAGTCCTTAGTTGGCTAACAAAGGCACAAAGCAAAAGCAGGCTAGAAAAAACTAAATGCTTAAACTAGAATGGGTTCCGGTGTCCTTCTGCAACGAGGAGATGGATTTTCACAAATTCTCCAAGGGCCAAGCATAATTCCTAGAGAGTGTGGATGTTTCCTGACCTGGACACCTCACAGGGACAGGAAAATGGGTCTTGGACAGCCTTGGCAGGGGGCTCCCTTCTCAATTTGGATCCCTCAGACAGTGAGGCCCTAAGTCACGGGGGGGGGGTTGACTTTAAAGTTTTCTATGCAGAGTTAGCCTGGTTAACCAGCTAAGAGAAGCATTTTGCATGACTCGCAACTTCTGGTTGGAGGGCATGAAGACTTCTGCTGAATCAAATGAGTTTAGGAAGGGCTGCACTGCAGCCTGGTGAAAGTGGGCAAAAGCAGTCCTTTCCTCAGCTGCTGATCTGAGTGGCTACAGAGGAGGATGTGCCCAAATTCCAGGCCTTCTTTCAAGAAGGAGTCTGCCCTACCAGGACCCCCTTTATTTGCCTCTGAAATGAAGGCCACCTGTTTCTCTACATCCACGATGGAATTTCATTGGGCATTCCAAGGAATTAACTCTTTCACTGGACGGGAGTGCCATTCCAAAACTCTGGGGACCTCTGCCAGTTGATACAGATGTTGAAGAGCACTGGGACCAGATGTGTCCCGAGGGGGACGGGGTGCCAAAAAGGAGCCTGTCCCCCCAAGATGCTACCTGGACTAAGCCTAGCATTAAGGGCTGCTGAGATGTCTGCACAGCAAGGTTCCCAGGTGACCAGAATGCCCTCAGCAATGGCATCCCAAATAGGAGGAAAGCCCTACAAAAACAAGAGGTCCCCAGATGGGCACTCCAGGAAGGCAGCTACATTTTGCCTGATGCATGATCCTTAATATGGCCCAGCAAGGGAGATGGGACTGAGAAGGAGTCACCCTGAAGGAGGGGGGATTGTTGCAGGGAGAGAGCCACGTTAGCCTGAGATGGCCAAGGAAGGAAGGAAGAGGGTACCTTTTCCAAGGGCTACATTTTGTCAAGAGGCTTTGCGTTTGGGCAGCCACAGCATTTCTGTTGGGGCCTGACCCTTGTCTCCCCAGTCTAGGCCCAGCTCATGGCTATCTGGAGGGGCCCTTGACAGCCCTTGAGGGATGCTTCCTTGAGGCTGTGATAAGCGTCCTCGATGGAGGACTCGGATTGGCTGAAGTTCCACCAAGTCTGGTCTGGTCACATGACTGATACTAATCCTTTTGTATCAGCTTAAGCAGGTGGTGGAGGAAAATACTGGAAAAAAATCAAACCGTTTGGTCGGGGCAAAAAAATAAGTGCTTGGTTTAATAGACAGGAAACCTTTTATGGATTTTTTCATAAAAGAAGAGCAAAGTGAAATGATCATTCAATGACTGAAAAATATGAGAATTGAATTAAGGGCTGAAGGAGTTTTTGGAACAGTTGAGCAGGAGGGGAGATGGTGGGTTTGTTAATGTTTTTTGAAAAGAATGTCAGAAGTCTACCTCAGCCTTTTAAAATATCTTTTTCGTTTTTCTTGCATTATCATTTTTCTTTATTTTTTCCTTCGCTATTCTGTTCATGAGATTTGTTTTTACCTACGAAAAAAACTTCAATAATTTTTTTTTTTAAAAAAGGAATGAACTGGAAAAATCTTGAACTAAATACAATAAGAACAGGCAAGTAAATAGAGTTGGAAGGGGCCTCTTCTAATCCAATCCCCTGCTCAAGCAGGAAACCATTTCGGACAAGTGGCTGTCCGATCTCTTCTTTAAAAGCCTCCACAACTTCTGGAAGGAAGCCGTTCCACTGATTCATTGTTGTCACTGTCAGGAAATTTATCCTTAATTTTAGGTTAGTTCGATCTCTCTTTAATAAGAGCCTATCCATTATTTTTGTTCAGCCCTCAGCGGCTTTGGAGAAGCTGCGTTGCCCGCCTCTTCTCTATGACGGCTATGGTGTCACCCCTCCGGTGATGTAAAAATGTTGTCAAAATTGGAGGAGGAAAGAAATCTCCCCGTCAACAGAATCCTCGTCGGAAGGGACGTTGGAGGTCTTGGGTGTCCAACCTTTGCGTGAAATCCTCTAGAAAGCCCCCCACTCGCCCCGATGATCCACGAGGCGGGCTGTTCTGCCGCTTAAGCGATCTTCGGTCAGGAAATGCCTTCCGCTCAACCAGCCTTCCATCCGCTGGTCCTTGCCCTCCCCTCAAGCACACAGACAAGAAATCTACTGCCTCTGCCCCGCGGCAGCTCTAAACATTGGAAAGCTGCTGCCAGGATCCGGACCTCTCTTTGAGTGGCCGGGTAGAGGGAGGCCCTTCTGGGCCCACAGTTAGTGGAAAGGAGCTCCCTGGTGAGCGTGCAACCCAGAGCCTCGGGGCGAGCGGGCTTCGGAAGGAGAGAAGCCTTCGCAAAGGAGCGCGGTCGCCCCCCCAATTCCTTCCAAGGGGCAGCCCTGCTGTCGGGGCCCCGGGCACTGCGTGGCCCCTGGGAGGACCAGGCGGCGAGGGTGAAGCGTGCAGGAACACCTACGAGTGCTGTCCGGCTAAAAGAAAGTCCAACGCACAGACATGTAGTCATTGCTGTGCCTCCTGGGACGTTAACGCCCCGTGGACAGAAAGCTGACGGGCAGCCCGGAAGGTGAGCTGGTGGAGGAGCGAAGACCTCTGTCCGTGGCGGCCGAGATGCTCCCGGTCCGCAGTGCCTTTCCCCAACGGCCGAGTGAGCCAGAGCCCCGGAAAGGCGCTCTCCGCAAGAGCCCTGGGGAGGGAGTGCAGAGCGCGGGCATGGCTGCCTTTATCGTTGGGGAACCGGCCGCCTCGGAAGGGCGTCTGGTCAGCAATGTGACAGCCGCTTGAGCGGCATAGGCGGGGCTGGGGGAGAGCACCCGTCGCCTGCCGACCGAACCGCCCCGCGGCTCCGCTCTCAGCCCGGCTCCTTGTCCAATTTTCCGCTTGATTAGCGGTCTGGCTGCTTCCTGACACCATCCGTGATTGGTATTAATTTCCTCTAACTGGTGATTAATTACTCTTCTCGTGCCTCCTCCGTCCTGTGCATTTTAATCCAATTCTCTCCATAGCCGGAGAGGGGCAGGATGGGTCTCCAGCCCCCTCACCTGGCGACTCCGGGGAACCACGACCCACCTACGCTTACCTCCACGAGGGCACCGTCCTCCTCCCTGCCTGCTGGTCCCTAGGGGCAGCAGAGGCAAGATGCCCCCCCCCCCCCCCCCCCGTGGTGAAGTAGTAGATGCAATAAGTAGAAGGCTGCCTTCCCCCATCTTTTGAGAGGATCAGGCCCTGGCTGACCCTCCCTGCCCCCCAAGGAGCCCATCTGAACCGGAGAAGCCGCCTCGCCTGCAACAGCCAAGGGCAGCCCTACCTAGGGAATTGCCGCCTAGGGAATCCCGACCTTCCCTTCTCCATCAGAGGCTTCCCCAGCCCAGCTGCCCTCCTGAAAGACCAGTTTTGCCCAATCTCAGAAATAATCCCAGGTAGATCAGGGATGGATGATGCCCAGATTCTCCAAAGCGGCCAGACTTGCAGACCTCAACTGCCACAAAGCCTTTGCTTTCATCATTTCCCACTCTTCCTTGGAAGGAAGGTGCCCAATGATCCCTGCAATAAATGGGGTTCTCCTCCTCTTCCAAGCATAATCCAAGGCAGTGTATGGCTTAATCAATGGGATTGAGTGACCTGCTCCGGTCAGGTCAGGCCAGGGACCCAGGGGATCCTTTGTGTCCCTCCCTCCCTTGAACCAGCCGGCACAGGACCAAATAGAGCGGGGAGAGCTGTGCAGGGTTTAGGTGGCCACCAGGGTAGCTTTATGCACCAAGGTTGTGGGCGCATGGTTTGAGTGGTGATTGCTGGCCCTGATGCTCGTCTTCCTAGGGGGGCCTGCTGAAAGTTCCAGACAGATTGGCTGGCCAGTCTTTTTTCTAAGTGGGATGCGGTGAGTGGGCAGGCAGGCTGGAAGCCAAAGCTAGAATTGTATCTCAACAGTAAATCATGGAAGTCATGGTTGCATCCAGTCTAACAAAGAGAAGGACCAAGGGTGACATGATAGCAATCTTCCAATATTTGAGAGGCTGCCAGAGAGAGGAGGGGGTAGACCTACTGACACCAGGACAAGAAGTAACAGAGGGAAACTTATTAGAGAGAGATCCGACCTAGAACCAAGGAGGAATTTCCTGATGAGAACAATTCATCTGGCCCCTAGACGTTGTGGGTACTTCAACACTGGCAGAGGGCTGGGATGGCGAACCTATGGCACGCGTGCCACAGGTGGTACGCGGAGCCATATCTGTGGGCACACGAGCGTTGCCCTAGCTCAGCTCAAGTGCGCATGCACGTGACGGCCAGCTGATTTTCGGGCCTTCCGGTCCCACCGGAAGTTGGAATGCGGGCCGTTTTTGCCCTCCCCAGGCTTCAAAAAAGCCTCTGGAGTCTGGGGAGGGCGAAAAACGGGCCTACCTGGCCCACCATGCCATTGCATGCTAAAAGCAGGAGGAGTGATGGGGGGGGTCATGCGCGCATGCACAGGGGGCAGGGCGCATTGAATTATGGCTGTGGGCACGCGCACGCATGACCCCCCGGCACCTCCCCCCCCTGCTTTTGGCACGCAATGACAAAAAGGTTAGCCATCACTGGCAGAGGGTCTCCTGCTTGATTAGGGGGCTGGACTAGAAAACCAAGGTTCCTTCCAACTCTGTTGTACAGTTACAGTTGCTGCTTCCTGGGCCAAAGTAGAAGAGTAATTTGACCCAGGGACTCTGCAAGAATGTTGTTACTGTGCACCTGAGGCTTCCTTGGGCTTCACCCTTCACGCACACAGAAAGCAAGTATTTGGCTTGTCTTTGTGAACAATGAGGTACAGCCCCCCACAAGGAATTCGCCCCTCCCCCTTAAGGCCACGTAGAAAAGCCTTGTGTGTGCACATGTGCCTCATGCTCATATCCTCCTCACCTCTCTGGGTCTGTGTGGGCGCACAGGTGTTTCTCTTCTCCTCAGCTCTTCTAAATAGAAGTAGGGACATAAAATTTCTTTTTAAAGGATATTGTGAGATGAACAGCCATATAAATTTGATATATATAAATAAAAATTTTAAAATTTATTGAAAATTTAAAAATAGACTTTAGGAACCTCTACCCACAACCCTGGATTTTCCCAGGTCACTGACCCTACAGCTAATACTCGAGCTGAAAATGTAAATGACCAGGGGATAATAAAGAAATAAAATTCCATCTCCTGAAGTCAGGCAGAACTATCAGATTTCAGCTGAACCTGACACAGAAATAGGTTTGGCAATTCCCACGCACCCCCTCCCCCAAATGCCATCAGAAACCAGTCATGCAGTAAGGCAAATTGAGTATATACAGGCTGAGCATAGTGGCAGGGCCTGAATTGGCCTTGTCCGAATCTCACATCACGAGGGGCCATCAGATAAGAGATTCTGGAGCCTTTAAAACCTCCCTTGCTAGACCAAAATGGGGAAGCCCTCATGAAATGGTTACAAGAGCAATCAAAATCCACTTTTCAAAATTCATTAAAAAGCCAAAAGGAAACAGGGGAAAGCTCATCTTCCCCTTCAGGCCAAGGGATGAGGTGGCTCAGGGAAGAGACAGAAAGAGACGCCAGCCAGTCCGGGACGACAGTTGTGGGAAAGCAGCTCTGGGAGACCCAGCAACCCCGGCTGGCAAATGACCCCCAAACAGGTCAGGAGCACTTTTGCCAGCCAAGAATCTCCCTCCCTCCCTCCCGGCCTTGGCGCAGATCCAGCCAGCGAAAGGCCGAGGAGCACCAAAGAGACGGTGTTTGTTTCTCTTCTGGTTCTGCCTCTTGTCCCGTAGTGAGAAGCCCCGCTTTACTCCTGTAGGGCAGACCCCCCCCCCAGAGCAGGGCTTGGCCCATCACCCCGTGCCCCTGGCCTGCTGCTCTCCCTCGGGGGACTCAAGACCCCAGGCGGCCTCAGTGTTCCCTGGGATGCTGGCCTTCCTTCCCCAGCTGCCTGAAATCCACATCCTGGGAACGGAAATTCGGATACCTGAAACAGAGACCCATGAAATTGGGGGTGGGAAAGGCAGGACTCGTGGAGGAGGGGCTGGCGGCAGCAATGGCAGCTGCTGCCGGGTCAAGCAGCAGGACCCTCCTGCTCACCCAGCAGCACCAAGAATCTGCGAGGGCTGGACTGCTCCTTCTCAGGCCTGCTCGGGTGCATATGGTTCCCTGGAAGGCAGCAGCGGTGTGCGGCGGCTCTTTCAGCAAAGGCCCAGCAGCTCCGGAGGGGATTAGCAGGGCAGCAAGTGTTCCTGGCCCAGCGTCAGGCATTGGGCAGAAAGATTCCCAGGAGGAGAAGCAGCAAGGTTGGCAGGAGGGCTGGCTGAGGTTAGTTCTGCCAGGGAAAGGAAGAGTGGAGGGCTCCCAGCAAGGAAGACTCAGGAGCAACCAAGAATCTCAGTCAAACTGACACAGAGCAAGAAAATACAGCCAAGCCACAGAGGAGGAAGGTGGTGGGGGCAGGGCGGACACCACCCAGGCTGATGTGGGGGGGAGGAGGCAGGGGACAGCAGGCATGCGTGAAAGAGGAAGCCACACCAGAGAGGCCCAAAGGAGAGGCTGAGGGCAGAGCCAGTTCCAAGCACGGCAAGAGCAGCAACTGTGTCTGGGAAGGGAATGGTGGGCCCTGTCACCAGGGGAGGAAGGACCAGGTGCCTGAAGGGAGTCCACAAGGGAGAGCCCGGCTTCTGACCAAGCCTGGGGCCAGCCAGCCAGAGCACTTGCTGGTGGGACCAACACCCTCCACCACAGGGCAACCCTGAAGAGGGAAAAGCCATGTCTTTTCATATGTTTATTGTGAACCATATAAAAATAAGGCAACGAACATCAGTTCCTGAGCAGGCTGGGGAGACTGGACCGGGCAGCTGGGCAAAGCGGCCCCTCCATGAAGGCCCAAGAAAAGTCTTCTCTGAGGAAGGCGCCCCAGAGCACAAGAATTTGCGGCCTGGACCCTGCGCTCTGGACTGGCAGCTCCTCATTACGGGAGGGGGCCAAATCTGAGCGGGCCGAGGCAGGCTTCAGAGAAAGGAGGGGCGGTTATGCTCCCCGGTTCCCTCTGGGGCTGCCTTCAAGAGCCTTCCCTCTCTGCAGCAGGCTCCTCCTAGGAAGACAGCTCCCAGGCAGGAGGCAGGCCTGGGCCCCCCAAGAATGTCCGTGCAAGCCTCGATGTCTGCCCTCACCCCAGCCCAGTCTTCACGCCCAGGAGGAGAGGCAGTGACGGGGGGCCGCCTTGGAGGGGGGCACGGTGGCATGTGCGGGGTGCTTCAGCTGCAGAACGAGCTTGTGTCCTTCCACTTCCGCCCCCTGGGAGAAAGGCAAGAGGAAGCCAAGGTGAGGGAGGCACCCCAAGAAGGCAGGACGACCGCCTGGAATGCAACCACCTCGACACGAAGGGTCTGTTGTCCTCTTCCTTCTCTGTCCTTTCCCTACTGGGCACCACAGATTGCATGCGGAGAGCCTTGCTTGCCATGGAGAGGACCTGACCAGCGAGCCCCTGCATGCTTCCATAAAACAGGGCAGCCTCTCCCCAATGGGGAAAGAAAAGCACCCACCAGGGACCTCCTCTCTGCAATCCTCCCTGCCGCTCTGCAGCTCCTCTCAGCACCTCTTCAGCTGCCTGAACCAGCTTGTCAAGCCAGCCCTGAACAGGCCAGCAGCAGCCAAGAGGAGAAGCACCGGTGTGTCTCTCCCCCCCCCCCCCCCCCCCCCCCGCGAGATTCCCATCAAGGGAGACTCCACAGCTGCCCAACATCAATGAGGCCGCTCCCACTTTGGCTCTCTGCCTTCTCATCACTTGGGAGCAGAAATGCCAAGGGCCACATCCGGTTCCTCTGCAGGCAGCCCTCCAACCTGCTGCCGGCAGCAGTGGGGATTGAGACCCCAGGAGGCCCAGGCCCAGAGGACCCGGCTGCGTATGTGTATCCAACGCTCCCCGCTCCTGACCTCCACCTCAGGGCGCCAGAGGGAGGGAGGGAGGGAGGAGCCGCACCTGCAGGGCCGCATAGGCGGCTTCGGCGGCCTCTTTGTGGCTGTAGTTGACGAAGGCACAGGATTTGCGAGGGAGGCACCGGATGGAGTCAATGGGTCCAAACCTGCCTCAAACAAAGTTGATGTCAAAGTTGGTCTGCCTTGGTGGCCCCTTACTTCCACGGGATGCCTTCTGGTCACCAGAAGGGGGGAAGAAGCCACAAGCCCCCCCATCCCCCCAAAGAGCAGACCAACTTACGGCTGAAAATAATGAAGCAGAACTTGCTGGGTGATCTTGGGTGCCAGGTTCCCCACCCAGACAGCGAACCACTCCCTGCAAGGGAGCACGTCGGTCACCCCCAGGAACAGGAGGCCCATGCAAGGCTCCACTAACCACTGGGTCGCTCTACCCTCACCCAATTCCAAAGGGACCCTTGCCTCAAGGGTCTGGGGATCCATCTGACCAGCCAACCTGCTCCCGGGCAGCAGCCGTCCCGAGGGCAGCGCCAATACCCCCCCAAGAGGAAGCGGCATTGGAGGGGCTTCCTCTGCCTCCTCCCCCAACCCATCCTTGGCAGTTTGGGAGGGGCAGCTCTGGGAGGGGTGTGCTGACAGATTCTGGGTTGGTGAGCCCTCCTGCACTCTCTGGATTTGGCAGTGGTGATCCACATCCTGCCTTGACTACTGCAACGCTCAGTTCTGGAGCTGGGCCTGGAAGGAGCCAGCCTGGCATGCCCAATGATCTACCCTCGGGCTTTTCTGGGCCTTGGTGCCGCAGCTCAGGGCCTGTCAACCAACTCAGACTTGTCTCAGGGCTATGAATCTGCCCGGGCATTAAGGCCATTCCCCAGCTGCCGAGTTTATGGAAAGGAGGGCTGTAGATCCAGCCGTGTACTTGACTGAGGGTCCCCCGAGTAGCAGAAATGGCCCAGAAGAGAGACGCGCCTGGGGCTGCCCAGTTAAGAATTTAAGCAAAGAGCCAGAGGAGGGAGGGGGCTGTTGAGAAGAAACAGCTGAATGGACACAGAGAGATTCTGCCTGGCAGTAAATCAACCGTTAATGTGCTTAGACCCTGTCCGAATGTTTGGCTGCATTTTGTTATTTTAGGTTCAGCCTGTGTCCCTTACAAGCTGAGCCTGGCCCTGCTGGGGCTGCTGCCTCTGCTCACGTGCAGGAAGAAACCCAAAAGTTCCTCCCCCTTCCCAGGTCTTCCTGCTCCTCACCTGACTGGGGCCTTCGCAGCCGGAGGTGCCAGCAGGGTGGTGGGAACAGCCTGGGCACTGCTGTCTGGGCACCGCTGCCCCCCTGGCTGTTTTCCTTGACCGGCAGGGAGAAAAAGAGTGACGGGTGAGAGCCAGCGACGGCTTGGTTTCTGCACACCCGCCAGGCAGCCATTGTCCACCCTGTGCCCATCATCAGCAAGGCTTAGAGCACTGTCCGGGGACTGGCCTTCTGAGCCCCCTCCCCCGCTTACCGGGCAGAGGCAGCTGCGTTTCCACAGGCAGGACATCCCGGTCACGGTGGGAGCAGCCCAGCCGGCTCTCCTGCCAAAGAAAGGGGACCGGGTGAGTCTGGGCCAGCTCCTTCACACAAGGTGCCATTCACTCATTGGTCAAACCAACAACCACTACAAGCCAAAGACGCTTCCGTGGAGTGGGGAGTGGGGGATATGCCTCCGTGTCCAGAGAAGCCAGCTGTTCTTGGACACCTTCACAATAGGATCCGACAGTCTGCCTGTTAGGTGACGCTGGCCGTTCTGGTGTCATATGCTGCACAAACTCGGCATGCTGGGTTGATACAGCATTGTAAGCCCAGCATGGCTGGTTTGCTCTGAGCAGAGAACCAGCCATTGTGGCTTGAGGGCAACCCAAAGTGGCTTACTGGTCAAGTCAAGGAAACGATTCCACTGACCACCTCAAGAGAACTCTGGGGGGGCTCTGAGCTGCCCACGCCAGGAAGGCAGGAGAGAAAACCAGGCATCAGAGCTACCAGCAGGCCAGCCAACTAAGGGGGGCCAGAAGGGGCCCCCCAGAGGATGTGGGGGAGGACTCAGTAACAGAGGGCAGCTTTCGCCAAGGGGTGCAGAGAGCATCGTTAAAGGAAACAGCTGCAGAAATGGCCCGCTGAGTGAGGCCCGCTCATCTCTCTAGGCCTCCTGTTCTCAAACACTTCTCCTGGCCAATCGGCTGTTTTCCTCCACTGAAGCCAAGCAATCAGGTTGCCTCGGGGGCCAAATGTCCACCTGCCCTGGGCAAACCATCCAGGCAAGCCTGCAGCAGAATGACCCGGCTTGACCTCAGAGCCGAGCTAAGAAAGGAAGCCTCCTCGCCCCTCCTTGCTCACCATTGAATGCTGGATCTGGCACTTCTGAAGCTGGATGGCTGCATCACCACAGAAGCCATCGAACGGAAGGAGTTGCTGAAAGGTCCTTGCCGCATCCGCGTATTGCTGGGAATTGGGGAACAGACAGGAGGGTCGCCGGATGCCAGAGTCCCCCAGACCCCCTCCCCACCCCACTCTGCCCCTCCAGCCTGGAGTACCTTGAGGCCCAGGAGCGCCTTGCCCTGGCGAAAGAGGCCTTTGGGCCAGCCCGGCTGCAGGCTCAACGCGTGCTGGGCATCCCGCAGGGCCTCCACGTGACTCTGCAGCTTCTCATAGCAGAAGGAGCGGTTCCCAAAGAACCTGGGGGGAGGGACAGAGGTCAGGCAGGCGCTCTTCCTCCCGGGGAGCCCCGTCTGCAGCCTCTTACTGTAACCGGTGTCACCAGCAGCAAAATCTGTGTCACAGTCCCAGCATGGGACTTTCCAAAGCACATCCCAGGCAGAGCCCGCTTCTCCCTCAGGCACCCCTGGGGCTCAGGGTTGGAAGCAGAAACCGGTCCCTTCCTCTCCCCCTAAGATCCACCTGATGCTGTCCCCAAAGCCTCCGAGGCCAGGGACTGGGGAAGGCACGGGAGCCCAGGGTTCTTTTTCCCCCAAGGACCCAGGTGTGGAGGCTCGGGAGACCACCTAGCTGTGCAACGAGACTCGCTGGGCATCTGACGCCCATCACTCTCCCTCAGTCCTGCCTCCGGCATGAGGCATGAGGTCCTTTTCAAAAGAAACGACAAATGGTAGTGCCAGGGCACTGATTCCTTTGCAGAAGGGAGGAGGGCAAATGCTCCAGGGCACTCAGGGTCAAACCCAGCCTTCATGTGGATTCAACCCAGCTGCTTTCTGCGCTGGCTGGCCACCCAGGGAGCATCCATGCTACTGGCCACTGCCCTTGGCCACCCGGGACAGGGCTGTTGCTGCCGGCACAAAATGAAGCCTCTCAGGAGGGGTGGCAGGGGGCTCGAGCAACAGACGCTAAATCCCCTCTCGCATCCAATCCTAGCAAGCAAAGCATTTCCCCCACTGCCAGAAGAGGGCTAGCACCCCCGTTTTCTCTTTCAACAAGCAGCCCACTTCCAAGGAGAGCCACAGGCTGCGAGCCTCCTCTCAAAGGCCCAGCCCCTCTGAAACCCGCCCCCCCAGCAAGAGGCCAGGCCAGCGACTGAGACACGCTCCATTCAAAGGACCAAGAGGGATGGAACCGTGAGATGGAAGAGAAACTGCAGGGTGGCAGGAAAGGGAGGCCAGCTTCGGAAAACAAAAAGGTTCCTCCAGGTGGCCACTGGGGCTGTGCAGTCCCTTCCAACCTTCGTAACCCCGTTTCTCCAGGACTGCCAGAACCTGCCCGCCCCTCAGAGCTTCTGCCATTCCCAGCCTGTCTCATCCGTGAGAGATCCAGCCGCCTCGTTTTCGGTCACCCTCTTTGCTGGTTGCCTTCATCTTTTATGACTCTCTCCTGTTGCTCTCTGGAGGGCAACCATGTGATGTGAGGTGTCTTTGCCGCTTCAGAGTCCAGCTTGCCCTTCCAGCGGTTCTGTGGCCTGAAAAATCTTGAGCCTTATCTCAGCAGAACGGGAGATGAACGCCTGTCAGCCCTTCGCTCTGCCCCTTTTTCATACTGGAATATAAACTGATCTTTTCAAATCCCTTGACGGCTGCATAATTGCTCACAAACTGCAACAGCATTTAACCAAGTTATGTTGCAAGATTTGAAACTGTTTGGCCGATAATTCATCAACTCCTACAGCTCTGCCATCAGCAATATTCTCCAGGCCCCATTTAACTCCCCTTTCCAGAATGTCTGGGCCTAGTTTGGATATCACATATTCTTAATTCCCCTAGATTTGGGGAGAGGCTTTGTTGTTTCATTCTTCACAATCCGAGCTGCAGTCAGGAGCAGGTCTTGGTTTTGCTGGCTCTTTCTCTATTTTTGCTAGTCAACTTATGTTGAAGTGTCATTTTTTGGTCGCTGGAAGAAGATATTGGCTACAAGCCTTGAATTTCTTTCGATGAATTTTCTCCTCTCTCTTGTTTTACACAAGGCTGAAATCCCAGATATGATTTTATGTGCATTTCAGTCTCCCAGATGTCACAAAGAGTTCCAAATCACCACAGAAATGTTCAGCCTCCACTTCCACTGCATCTGGGATGGAAACACAGGAGCGGCCTGGACTCAAAACGAAGACGCTCCTCTCCTTTGGAGGGTTGTGTTCGTGTACTAAGTTTCTCAACAATAACGGCCAGCCCATTTTTTCTGTAATTTTCTTCGCTGAAGGTCTGAGTCTCTTGTTATGCGGAGGGGCTCATTCCAGGTTATTTCAGTTTGCTGGTTCTCCAAGGGACCAGGTTCACTCTTGACCTCTCTGCTCAAGCTTGTGAAGTTTCTCCGGGCCAAGGACTGCAGGCAGAAGCAGTGTCTCCACTTCCCTCTCCACAGCAGCTGGGCACCCTCCTGGCATCCATCCATCCATCCAGCCCGAGAGCCCCAGGGCTACCTGCTTGCCCTCCACTTTTCTACGCTGCCTGATCATCTTCCAGCATAACGCTGGCAGTGTCCTAGCTGAGCACCTGGCTCGCTGCAGAGGTTCCTGCATTCTTCTCCGGCAGATGGAAGAAACTCGGGGGAAGGCAGAAGCCTGCAACTTTGTTTTTTCTTTACGGCTGCCTTGAAAGCAGAACAAAGGTGCAGATGAATGATAAACTTAGACGGGGCTGGCGAGGATGCGGAAGAAAAACAGTGCACAATGTCATCCAGAGCAGCCGGCAAAGACCTTCCATCTTGAAAGGCTGTTTGCCCTGCTGCAAAGCCTGGCCTCCTCCTCCTCCTGCCAGGTGGGGAGAGGGTAAGATGAGAGGTCCTTCGGGGCTGCTCCTCCTGAACCATCAGGAATGTTCTCCTCCTCTCCCACCGCCTTTGCTAGAGCTTTCCTAGAGGGTGGTAGTGGTGGTGGAAAGCACACCACTCCTCTCTAAATCACAGTGCTTAAAGTGCTTTCCCAATAAAGAGGTTGTGCTGGCAGCATCCTTCATTTAAAAATTAGGTGCATTTTTATTTATGTGCATTTCTTACCACACCAAATGCAGAGTCACCTTGCAGCAGCAAAATGTATTATTCCCTCCCTGGCTAGATCACACAAATGCCTTATCACTACACCAAAATGCTTACAGCTCCTTTCAGTATTTCCATTTCTGGCTTGTTTCCAGCCCAGAGAGGGGGATGGTCTAAAGAGGGGGAAATAATTGTTTCCTGAACTTTGGTCCAGCCTTCCCTGTGACTCTCCATCTCTCCTTTCCAAATGCAGCAGTGCTTCCCAAGGCCAGCTGACTCTGCAGGGCTCCCTTTCTGATATGGCTGGGTCCTCCCTTCTCCAGGGAGCCTCTCCTCAACCCTCCCTGGCTCCATACAGCACAAATAGACCACCAACCTCCTCCAACAACTCCCTCCATTTCCCAACAGATCCGCCATTTTATAAACCTCCACCAAAACGTGTGTATCTAAATCAGGTATGTACCAATGTGCCTTAATCAGGCAAGAAGCTTCCTACATAACACATTCCATAGTTTGCCAAACAGCCAGATCTCTAACCTCAAGACCAGCTGGCCACACCAGGCAGCTTGGTCCCTGCCACCAGCTTCTTAACACGCTTAATCCCCCTTGGACAATCCCCTCCAATCGGGTCATTCGGTTCAAGGGAGATCAGACAGGTCCTCGGGATCCCCTCCAGCATAGCTGCCCTTCTCTTGCCCCCATCCCTGGGACATGGAGCAAGAGTGGAGAGCAGCCCGCCAGCGCCCTCTCCAGGCCAGGGTTCTTCCTTCCCGCCTTTTTGGAAAGGTGCCTGGAAACAGGAATCAAAGCGGACTCCATCCTCCCTGCAGCTCCAAAGGAACTGACTGGTGTGCTCAGAAATGCTTTCCAAGACAGGAGGGGAGGTTTGAAGCAAGGGGGCAGTTTTTACTAAATTATGTTAAGGACGACACATATTTTTAAGAAGCAGCACAACTGTTTTCTTAGAAGGTAAGTGGATTTCTGTCAGGAAGACTTTGCTGCCACCATCCTCATCATCCTCATCATCCTGGCCAGGAATTTCCCCTCACTTGTACACAGTAGGGAAGTAATTATAAGAGTTTGTGGGAGGCAGGATGAAGACATAGACAGACAGGAGCTACTTGATCCACAAAGCCTCCCTTGGCCTGTGCTAGATATCCCCCAGAAACCAAAGCTTCTCCCTGCCCTGAGCACCACTTCTCAAGACCACATTCAGCCTGAACAACTGCCTGCCCTGGGGGAGAAAGAGGAGGGGGGGTCAACTGGCAGAAAATGCTTGAATTCAAGCCAGACGCACCGATTCCATCCAGGGCCAAGGACGACAACCAAGACAGGCGTGGGTCAGGCCCTCCAACAATCCGATCTCACCTGTATTCCTGGGGGTTCAGCTTAATAGCTTCAGTAAAGAGGAACACGGCCTTGTGAAAGAGCCCCTGCTTTGCAGTTTCATTTCCACAATCTGGAGCAGGAGAAAAGGATTATTTAAAATGAGGAAAATGTTATCATAGATGTGGAATTAACCTTCTGACTGTTTAGGTGAAAGCTGGACAGTTCCCCAAATGTCTTTGCATAACTTCCAGGGCACTTGGGACGCTCTGCCCAAAATCCTTAAGACGGGAAATGCAGGACAACCATGTCATAGGGGATGCTCAATTGGACCTTTAAAAAAAAGAAAAACAGGCCTCTACAAGAAATTAACCATCCATCCAGGTTGTCCCACTTTGAATAATAACCCTGCCCATGACTGATCTCATCCCCCCACCATCATTATATGCATCCCTCCAAAATTTCCTGCCCATACCTCACCCAGCCCAGACCAATGCTCTACTCTACAAGCAAGAGAGCCCCACAAAGGAGCCCCGGGGATGGACCTGCAACCAGTGGTGGGATTCAGCCAGTTCGCACCACTTCGAGAGAACCGGTTGTTAACTTTCTGAGCAGTTTGGTGAACTGGTTGTTGGAAATCATCATTAGGGCAGAGAACTGGTTGTTAAATTATTTGAATCCCACCACTACCTGCAACCCTGTGGGGCACGTGAGCCTGCTCCCTTCCAACACACAGCCCTCCCATTGGAAGAGACTGTGAAACCCCTCCCCCCCCATCAAACCAAGCCCAGGAATCTGAAACCTGACCAAGTAACTCTCTAGCTCCCCTTGAAGTGGAGCCATTATTGCCCCCAGCCATCTGGTTTCACTCTCTTCATGGGACTTAAGCTTCGAGCCCCCCATCACCCTCACCGACTCCCTCTGAATAAGTTCGAGTTTCTATGCACTCTCTCTTATAGCTGGTGCCAAGAACTGGCCATGGTAGCTGAGCCAAAGGTGTCTGACCGAGGCAGAATCAGTGAAGACACAAGAGCTTGTGTCTCCTCAATGGAGCTTGAAACCATTGGCTTCTTTGTAGCGATATCCCATGACTGGCTCATATTCCATCTGCCATCTAATACTATTCTAAAACAGTTTCACTATTATCATTATCAAGCCGGGACCTCTATCCTGCAAACGTGTGTTTGATTTTTGTTCCTTTCATGAAGGGTTTGTTTAAATTTCATTTTTTTAAATTTCAGCTCATTTCCCTATCTTATCTAAGTAATTTTAAACTTCATTTTGTCTTCTAGGGAATTTTCTCCCTTAATTTTACGTCATCTGAAAACATGATAAGCATTTCCTATCACTTCATTTTATTTAGTACAGGACCCAGAATTAAAGTTTGCAGCACCCCAATTTCTCCAATATGAGGAGGAACTGCCAAATCCAGGAAGCGGCCTGCTTGGGCAGGCATGGAAAGATCACAGCAGCTCAGCTTTGGTGGGGAGAAAGCGCTTCCAGCCGCTCACCTGCCAACACCAGGCTCTGCTCCACTGGAGTCAACTGGAGCTCTGAAGGCTTCTGAAGATGGAAGAAGAAGAAGGAGGAGGAGGAGGAGGAGACACCTGACGTTGCCATCCAGCCTGCCCCATGGCTAACGCGAGGGGTTGTAAGCCTCCCTGGCTACTATTTTTATGTTATTTTTGTGGGCTTAGGTTGTTTTACTGGTTTTGTTCCATTTTGTGAGCCACGCACTGTCATGTGTATGAAATGGTTGGCCCACAAATTTATGAAAGTTAGACAGAGCAGCCGTTGAAATCATACATTTCTCCAATTCTGCTGAACAGAACTGAGAAAATAACCGCACTCCCAATGCGCAAGGACTCAAATTCATGGCTGCAGATTTCATTCCCAGAATTTCCACAGGAGGCGCCATCAAAGAAAAGGAAGACTAAGTATTTTCATGCTGGATAGGTAGCCGAGTAGTCCAGGCACATCTGGAGACCATCAGATTAGGATGCTGATTTCCAGAAGACAGGAAATAATTCACCAAACATCCAATTTTGAAATTTATTTTTATCTCACCTTTATTACTTTACTCACGGCAGCCAACATACTCAATCCTCTTCCTCCTCCTATTTTCCCCATAATAACAACCCTGTGAGGTGGGTGGAGCTGAGAAAGACGCCCAAAGTTACCCAGCCAACTTTCATGGCTAAGGTGGGACTAGAGCTCAGGGTCTCCCGGTTTCTAGCCTGATGCCTTCACCATCAGTATCACTTCTGTCCCTACTGGCAATCAAGAAGTAAAGGAGGAGCTTATGAACTGGCCCTAGTGGGATAGGGAGGGACACCCACCCACCATAAACTCTGCCAACCAGCTGCAGACCTGAGTGGGGAGTGAAGGCTGGTGGCTGATCAGTGTATACATGGCATGGGGAAATCAGAAGCCTCTCCCCCTTCCCCATTCTACATCTCAGAGCATATGAACTAATGGTGAAATCTTATAGCGACTAAGGGAAGTCACTTCCTAAAAGACAGAGCGCCAGCTACAACAGAAAATGGGGTCATGGAAAAATGGACATTGAGGGCTGCCAGTCAGACATGCTCCCTTCAGATCAGCATGTGGGAAACAGGAAGGATAGGGGCTGCCAGGCTGGCTCCCTTCAGAAAAGGGGGCTGGCCTGGAGAGCACTTGGCCCGGAACCGGAACACGAGTCCTCACCTCTGCCTTTTGCGTCTTCTCTGCCTTCCTCTCCCTGGAGTTTTTTCCTCCTTTCTCCTTCTTTGGGAGCATGGACTGGGCATCTACTTTCCGGCGAGCTTTGGAGACAAAAGTGCTGGAGAAATCCAGCTCCTCCTGTGGGGAAGAGATGGAAAGCAGCAGCTCAGACAGCCCGGACATCCCTTTGGAAGGAAAACTGAACCAGCACTACCACCACCACCTTATATGATACCAGACCTGGGACTAATGTGGCCAAGGCCATCTCGCTGCGGTTCTAATGGTTTGGTGTTGGCTGTAATAATGGTTGGTGGAGAATTAGCATTTCCTCCGCCTGCATTCCAAGGCAGGGATCAAACAAACAAAGAAGCCACACGGGACCAAATACCTTCAACACTCCCCCCCCCCGCCCCCCATGCTTCCTGTATCAGTTGAAATCTCAAACAGACTCTCAGCCTCCTTGTGGACTACTTTTCCCGTCCACTCACTGGCCCAGGCTCACCTCTGCCGCCTCTACCTCCTCCATACTCCTGCTGGGGTTCCTGCCTAGGGAGGCTTCATTGAAACTCCCCTCTGAGTCAGGGAGATCATCATCCAAAGTCAAAGTTCCCTCATTTTGTCCAGCTGAAGATTTATTCTATGGAGAGAAAAATAAAACCTTGAAGGACCTAGAAATTATCCTGCCATCTGGACAAATGAGTCCGGATATTTGCAGAGTTGGAAACCAGCAGAGTCTGCTCAGATCTCTGTCTGAACAAAGTGATTGGCTGGAGTGTCACAAGGCTGCACTGAGGGTGATTTCCCAATCAGGGCTACTCTCTGATTAAGGTTGAGGTCCACCCACCCACTGCAGGCAGGAGGCCCACTGAGCACAGCTGCCAGCACAGCCAGGCCATTCACTCACTGCCTCACTCTTTGCCTTTAGCTCCAGGTTCCGCTTCTCCTGCCTCTTCCGGTCCTTCTGTCTCTGAGGATAAGCAGAGAACATCAGGTTTCCCAGCCACTCAGCTCCCAAATTCCAGGAGGTAAACGAGCTGCATTGGCACGGTTACCTTCTTCTTCATCCTTTTCTTCTCAGCCTTCTTCTTGAGGCGCTCCTCCTCAGCGACCAACAATTTCGCATTCCGCTCAGCCTCCTGAAAGACAGCAGGGACCAGCCTCCTCACCCACCAAGATGCCCACCATCCTGGCACACTGCTGTCTCCCAGGAGCAGCGGAACAAGGAGCAGATGGGAAGACAAGGGACCCCATGGGCTGAGGGCTACACCTGGCTGTTGCCTGGCACCAAGGATAATGTGCCAGTAAGCAGCAGCAGCAGCACAGAAAGAAACAAAAACTAACTTCATTAGAGAAACAATGAATGGGATTCTTCCTTAAGCAGGCCACAATGTTTCACATTTTAAAAATGTTGATTCAGTAGCAGTTTCTGGAACCCTCTGGGAAATGGTCTTGTTTAGATCAACAGCTATCAAGGAATGTGGTAATTCGGACTTGGGAGCGTTCCAAAGGTGAAGTGGGTCAAAAAAGCACTGACTCACCTCAGCTGTAAGTGGTGGTTTCTGGGGCAAAGCCAAGCCCAAAAGAGCAAGGTCCAGATGGTTGCTTTGGGGAGGGAGTGGGGCAGAAGGTGGGCAAAGAAAGGCCCTCCGAAAACCGCAGAATGTGGTGTAAGGACTATTCCGAACTTCGTCATAGTCGCTGTCTTCCTCCGCTTCCTCACTGCTGTCTTCCCAGTTCTCATACCTGGCATAGTTAATCACACTGTACCAGCAAGGCTCTCCATTCAAATCTGAAAGGGGACCACAAGAGGCTTGAATAAGCAAGATGGAAGCTCATCTGACTGAAGCCTTGAAGCCATCCAGTGTTGCCCAGCAGAAAGGAATGTAGATCTGATCTTGGACAGGGAAAGCGGGCACAAGCATTAGAGATTCGCCCCAGTCTCTAGAAGATGGAAAGTGTGAAAAAGGAGGTTAGTCAAAATAATCCTGCCTTTTTTGTTTAGTTTAGTGGACTATGGGCAAGATTCTCTAATTTTGTTTCCTACAACCATAAGGAGCATTCCTGGAATCCCTGCAGTTTGTTTCTTGACCTGGCCTTGCTTGAAGGGGAGACATCAACCTGGAAAGTCTGTATGAACATTCAAAGCCTCGTTCGTAAAGTTGAATGCAAACAGAGAAACATTCTAGTCTGTCGGCACCAAGAACTCCTCTTATTACTTTGGGTTGCTGAAACAAGCCAAGCAATTCCCAAAACTGGAGAGTCCAACATTCTTCTTGGCTCACTTGTGAATGAGACCGCCTGGAGGCATTTTTTCCCCCGCTTTCAAAGGCATCAGGGTTCCCTCCCTCCCTCCCTCCAGGATTATCCGAGTTATTCTTTGGCTCCTTTTCCACCTTCTCCGGTTCCAAAGGCCCGGGAGCCCCCAGGGCCACGTTCTCAGCCTGCTGCCAGTCGACCTTAGTGAGCGGGGGGGGGGGGTTCAAGGAGAACGGATTTCTATTCCATCTTTGCTTTTCCACCGAGCCCGAGGCTGCCAACCCGCCGCCTCCCTCCGCCTCTTTTCCCCACAGCCACAACCCTGCGAGGCGGGCTGGGCCGCCTTCCGAGACCTTCGGCCCAAAGACGCTGCCGGCCGCTCCGCTGCTTCCCTGCTCGTGGCGGGACAGTCTCGCCTCTTTCGGCTAGGCCCTTCCCGCCAGCCCTCTTCCGCGCCCGTCTCCCCCGGCAGCTCTGCCCGGCTTCCCTCCAGCGGACGCCCCGCCAACGCCCCTCGCAGCCCGCTCTCCCCACCGGCCCCTCCGCTCACAGGGGCAAGGCTGGCCCCGCCGCCACCGCCGGACGGAGCGCTCGCCTTCCTCCTCCTCCTCCTCCTCCTCGCCTTCCCCGGCCGCCAGCCGCTCCATGACCCCGCCGAGGAGGGCAGCGCGGCGCCTCCCGAGGGTCCCTCTGGTGGAGAGGAGAGGAGCGGCGCTGGCAGCGGCGGCCTTTCCCCCGGAAGCGGAACGCGCGGCCTCCTTCCGGCAGGCAGCGAAAGGCGCTCTTTGCGCATGCTCCCACGCCTTCACGCAGTTGGCCCGGCAGGGAAGATTCGGCGCCACTTCCACCCTCAGGCGGCCACGACCGCCAGAACCAGCAGAGGAGCCGCTTGTGCAACGGGCTCCCCGCGACTCAGGCGAATGTAGACACAGAAACGGGCCTCGGTCCCCCCCCCCCGGAACACCCGACGGGGTCCGCTCTTCAGGTGTCCTTGGGTGGCGGACAGGCGGCATCGCCCCGGGAGAGAGCGGCGCCCTCCGTCATCGGGCCCCGGAAGGCCTCACTCCAGCCCCCGGAGGCGCCACGCCTGGCGAGCGGGCGAGAAAGAGGGTCTCCCGGGCTGGGCGACGGCGGCGGGGAGCTGCTTGCGGAGGGACTGTCGGCTGCTTCGCCGCCTGCAGCCAAACAGCCTCAACCGCAGCAGCCCCAGATTTCCTGCGAGGGAACAGAAGGGCCCCCTGGACTGGGCACAACCTGCCCTACCCTGCTCTCAATGCCAACCCTGCAAACCAGGGTGAAGGCTCAGCTCTAGGCCTTCAGTTGGCCTCGGATGTTGCCTGAACCCGGGAAACAGTGGGCCCTGCAGGGCGGGCTTATACAGAGGCTTATTGGCTTTCAGGCGGTGGCTTTTGGTTTGGCTTCCCCACTTTTTTTTGTAAATGAGGATATATTTCAATCAGAATAAAGTTGGAAGGGACCTTGGAGGTTTTCTAGTCCAGCCCCCTGCTCAAGCAGGAGACCTTACATTATTTCAAATAGGTGGCTGTCTTCTTAAAAACCTCCAGTGATGGAGGACCCACAACTTCTGAAGGCAGGCCGTTCCACTGGTTAATTGTCCTCACTGTTAGGAAGTTTCTCCGTAATTCCAGGTTGCTTCTCCTAGATCAATTTCCATCCATTGTTTCTTTGAAATGTATGCTTCATTGGAGCCGAAGATTGGATGAAAAGCAGGGCTGAGACTGCTTGGACTGAGTGCATTTCTTTTAACCCTTAAGATGTTTCATATGTTTATTTCTTGTAACATCCGTCTGGGAAGTTAGTATCCTGCTTTGTTTCTCCCTAGTCTGAAAAATGCTGAGAGAATAAAAAATGTTGATCATTGAAAACTATTTTGTTATTGTACAGATCACTACATTTACCATGTTTGTCACTGTCTGCTTCCTACAACAGGAGAGAATATCTGGCTCAAGGTCACCCAGCTGGCTTTGAGACTTAGGTGGGAGTAAAACTCAGGCTCTCGGGTTTCTAGCCTACACCAAACTGGCTCTATATGTTTTAGTAGATAAATATATTAATATTTTGAGTTTTCCTTCTCCTATATTTTATGTGTTTATATTGCAATGGTACTAAAACCTTGTTAATTACACTACAATTGTCTGCTCAGTCAGTTTATAGTTCCACCATACATAAAATTAAAACATAACATAGTACAATATTCCTATGCCGAGTAATCATCAAACTCTACTGATCTATAATGAGAACAGAATATTAAACTCAAATTGTCACTGAATGATGAAAATCAAATCAAATACAACGAAACAACTGAGCCTGATGACCCAATGAAGAGCAAAAGTTGTTAGGAGCAATTGTGCTGGTGGGAAAGGACTTGGGGGGACACCCCCCCTTCATTAAAGCCAGCCTCAGGGAAACCGGGACGTCCTTTCTTACCATCTGGCCAGGAGCCCCCCAGAATGGCTACCTTCACACCAGGCCAGGGCTCTTGGCAGGCATCTCTCGCTTGCAGAGGTGCTCTGAGCTGGGTGTCCTTCAAGGCCCAGGGAGAGGCTGGGGCTTCCACTCGGATTCCCAGAGTGTTTTCACTCTGAAACTGAGGGAGTATAAGGGGGGATGGGGTCCTTTACCTAATTTAAAGGGTCTGCATAGCAAACTGGATCATACACTCAATAGATGGAGAGGTTATCTAACACATTCGGCCATGAACAAAAAAAATAAGGGAACAGAGTTTGTGGGGTCTGCCCCAGAGGCTGCTGCTCTGGGGTGGGTCTCAACTGCAGGAGCAACTGTAGTTTCCGGATACGATTGGCACCATATTCGGGCCATCCTGCACAGGGCATGAGATCCTGCGGCGGTGGGGAAGGGAATGGGGATCCGCCGCTCAGCCCGATCCACCGCACAGGGTGGTGGTTGGAGGGGAAACGGGAGGAAGCAGCATGCTTGCAAAAATAAGCGGCTTAAACATCTAATACCAGCGCGGTGACGGCGGGCGCCCTTGACTGAATCGGGGCAGGAGGGGTTTCCGAAGGCGGGGCTGCTGCGTTTAACGAGGGGTTCGCACCGCCCCCACCCAGTTCTTCACCCTGCCTGGACTTTCGCCTGGCCGGACGCCTCGCAGCTGCCCCGCGACTTCAGTTTGAAACTTTCAGCTCAGGGCACGAAACGCAACAATAAAATGCTAGAAAACGCAGAAACTACGAAACCTCCGGGAAAAGCAGCCCCGCAGCAGCCGGGCCGCCAGGCGAGGGGTCGTCACCCGTCCTAAGGCCGGGCCCAGATCCGGGGATGTCACGGCTCTGCTCGCCTTTCCCCGGCTCCCGGCCTCTGCCGCCCGCCACGTGACTGCCGCCCGCCCCGCCCCGCCCCTGGAGCCGAACCGCCCGGCAACGGCGCTCCCGGTGAAGAGTGGCGGCTCCCGGCGCGGCGGGCTGCGGCCGAAGGAACAGCTCCCCGAGGCTCCCGGCGCATCCTCATTTCCCGCGGCTTCCAGCCCCTCGGGGCCGCCCCGCGGAAGAGGACGCCGGGCTATGGAGCAGCGCGGGCGGCGGGACCCCGAGCCTGGTAGGCCGAGGGGGAAGCGGGGGCTGTGCTCGCTGGCTCCGACGCCGGCCAGAAGCCTCCGGCTGAAGGGCGGCGGGGACTCAGGGGGCGGCCCCTTCCCCCTTCTGGAAGACCCCGGGGAAGGGTTGCCTTGGCCGCCTCTCGGGGCTCTGCTGTGAGGGCAACGGACCCGGGGCTGCTCTCCCCCTTCCTTCTCTAGCTAGACTCCCCCGCCAGGAAGGCAACTGGCTGCTTGTCCGGGAGGCCTTCCCTGCAAAAGTGGGGTGGGGGCCACCCGGGAGGGACGTCTCCCCCTGGGCCTTCATTTCTTAGCCAGAGCATCAACACTTGGGGAGGCCGGAGGGTGGGGGTCTTGAAAGCAGCTGTTTTGTGGTGGGGAGGGGGTGACAAACCAAGGAGGGGCTATAAGCACCCCTTGTTTTCCCCACAGGGTCCGGTTTGTGGGCAGAGATCACCAGGCCTTTCCCTGATGCAGAAGTGCATTTACCTACCCAGGTGCACCCCGGCCAGCATCACCTGCTTCTGGCTCAGCCTAGCAGCACAGCTCAGGAGGAGGAGGGTGAGGAGGAGGTGCCCGGCGGCCTGGCCCACCTGGCCCAAACGGACAACACCTACCTGGGGATGAGCTGCTGCCTGCGCACACCAGGCCTTCAAGCGGCCCCAGATCCGGGCAGGGGGGCTTTCTCCTACTGGGCCAGGGGGAGCAATGTGGCCCATCAGCGCAAGACAGTGGACAGCCTGCTGCAGCACCAACATTGCTTGCGCCTAGCTCGCCACTACTGCCGGCGCCTTAAAGCGGCTTCTGACTTTGTGCGCTGCTTGGTGGAAACCGAGTGTTGTTTTGTGACACCGGCCGGCAGGCAGAGCACCGATGGGGGCCTCCTGCTGCGGGGACTCTGTCAGGAGCTGCGGGTGCACACCTCTCACTGGGGCTGCCTGCAGTGCCACCTGCGCAGGGACCCCTGGCTGAGGCCCCTACTGCTTCAGCAGCCTGAGGCTGTGAAGCGCATGAAGCAGTCCCTCAGGCTGCTGGCCCTGCAGGCTCTCTGCCTCCTGGAGAGATGCTTGGAGGCCCTGCTGCAGCACTTGGCCCCTGGCCCCATCTCCCTCCTCTCAGAGGCCTTCCGGAGCCTGGAGAGCTACAACCAGGGGCTGAATGAGTGGGGCCTGCAGAGAGCCAAGCTGGGGCCTAGAGCTCCAGGGCAACAAGGGGTGCAGGCCTTCTCTGTGGAAAGGGTGCTGGCTGTCTTGGCCGCCGAAAGAGGACGCCTGGCCGGCGAGAGACTGTCTCTGCTGCTCCCTTGGCAGCAGGCAGGGACCAGCGATCTGAGGCCCACAGCCGCTGACACTTCTGGGGCGGGCGAGGGCCTCCCTGCACACCTGCAGGCCTTGTGCCGAGAGGAGGAGGAGACGGTCACAGCTCTGCTGCCAGAATTGCTTGCATCCACTGGCGGCCTGAGACATCGCCTCCTGCACCAGCCCAAATGGGACCAGCCCCAGGGGGGCCCCGATGCAGCTCAGGGCCTGGCCACTACCCCACTGCCCAGCTGGAAGTCTTCTGATTGGCTGGATGCCTCCTTCGCCAAAGTGGCTGTGACGTTCTGCGCCGAATACCGGCCCCTCTTCTGGAAAGCAGTGTCAACCTCCTGGGTGCGCCAGCTGGAGCTCCAAGCGCATCGGGCTCAGTTTCAGAGGGGAGCCGGGGCTGCCCTGGGCCAGCGAGTGACTGACGCTCTGGCGGAGGGTAAGTCGGGCACGGTGGGGGGCAGGGATGAGTGCTGGGTGCTAGCCAGGGCGGGGGCGGGGGGGGGAATACAGGCAGTTCCAGAGGTTTCTGCAGACCTTGAAATGCCTCCTTGGGCCCTGGCTCTGCCCTGACTGGACCCTCAAGAATTCAGATAGTGTAAGAAATGTAGCGTGGCAGCAAGGTCCCCATTTTCTGGAGAGACTTGTTTCTTGCCAGTGGAATATTTCGTGGGATTTTTTTTCTCAAGTGGATTTTGGCCTTGCTCAGCACGTGACACTCAAAACGTTTCCCAGCACAACTGTTGCCATCTTGGCCCCAATGAGTGTGACTGGAGGAGATGTGGCTTGTTCGCTGCCTGTCCCCCGGTTGAGGTGTTTCCATTTGGGGGGGGGGGGGCTTCTCTTCCAAGAACATTCTCCGCCCAGTTCCTGTTCTGAGGGTGGCAGAGGTGCCTTTCACCAAGAGGACTGTGAAGCTGTGGACGCCTTGTATGTGTCGACATCACGCAGGCCCTTTTATGCGTGCTTTGTGAAGCACAGGATGGAGTTTGCATAGCTACACATGTTGGTCATTTTGATGAATGCTGTAGAATTTGGCAGCTCTCAGACCTTCCACCTCAACCTCCCCGATGCCAGGGAATATCCCCCGGGGGGCCCCCGCCCCGCCTGCCTGCTCTCAGACTTTCTGCCTACCCTATGAAGTTCTGCCCTCCGTCATCTTTCCCGGGACGAGCAAAGGCTTTGCCTCCTGCCAGACTGAAACCATCATGAACGTCTGTTTCTGTTTCCAGCTTGCCTGCCTGTGGAGGCTGCAGAGGAACTGAAGGATGTGGCACTTTGCCTGCTCAAGCATGATGCCCTGTGGCAATGGGATCCAGGTAAGGTCCTCGTGGGGGAGAGTCAGGAGGGGGGGCTGTGGGCAGCCTGGGTTGTGATGGCTCAGGACGGGCCAATTCCCATCCTGTTTGAGAGCCATCAGGGTTACTGATGCAGGGAGAACTGCATTCCGACCCTCTTTGCCCAGGGTTCTGCCACGCTCTGGGCACCAGCCTTGTGGACAGATGCTTTCCCAAGCCCACGACTGTGGCCTGCAGCCAGACAGGACAGGTTTTGCAGAGCCTCTTCCTGCTCCTGGCCTTCAGCATGAGATGCCTGGAGATCCAGCCTTTCCATGGTGGCCCAGGTGGGTCTTTCAGCTTGTTCTTTGCCTTGGGGTTGAGGGGAGGCAGGCGGGGAGGGCTCTTTGCCAGCTGAGCTTGTTTTTCTTTCACAGGGCAGCACCTGGTCCCTGCCAGCCTCCACCTGCACCTGCTTTCCCTTGCAGTGGCTACCTGCCATGCCTCTTCCTACTGGACCATGAGCAAAGCCTACCAGTACTTGGCCTCCTGGTCCCTCGGCCAGTTCCTCCTTGTGGCCCAAGGGGATCTGCAGGTAAGCAGCTGAACCTGAGCCCTCCTGGCCCACAGTTGACAGAAGCAGGCCTCAGTTTTCCTCAGTTGTATTGTAGCCAATGGAGCCTGGAAGAAGGCCTTCTGGAACTCATTCCAAACACAGGGGTTGTTGATGGGCCTCGGCATGCAAGCGTCCCAGAAGAAGGGAGGGGGTTCTGGTGGTTGAGATGAGAGGATTGCCTGGGAGCCTCAAAGGAAGCTCCTTGTTGTAATCTGCAAGGACAGAAGCTTTTTCTTGCAGCTGCTGAAAACTGAAGCCAGGAAGATGTTGGTGCTGGTGAGCAGGGCCTTCTTAGAGGACAGGTGGAAGCAGAGCCCTCTGGCCTCTCATCGGGAGCGGGAGCTGAGCCTGCAAGTCCATTCGGCAACCACCAGCATCCAAGTAAGCCTGTGGCCTTGGAGAGCTGGAGTGAGGAGCCTGTGGCCCAGGAAGGTTGTTGGACAGGCCTACTGGGGCTATTGAAGAGTCCAACAAGGTCAGGAGATGCCGCCATAGGCTTCCCACCCTCTTCTGCAGGAACCCTGGTCCTAGCAGGCCCATAAGGATGCTTGAAAGTCAGCTCTGGTCTCCGTTGCTTGAAATCTCAGCTGTTTTCGTGGAGGCAGAAACTCCATGTTGCTTCCCTTCATCCTCTCCATTTACTTCTTCAGGGCAGCAGCCGCAATAAGAGGGGCAATGCTGCATACCAGGGTCTGCCTCCCCTAGTTATTTGTGGGTGAAGGGGCCTCCAGAGATGATAAGATCATCAGAAGAGCCCTTGGCCTGATTTCATCTTTGACTCCTCTAGTTTGGGGGCTGGAGAGCAACCAAATACCCTGGAGAAGCTAGGGGGCCTCGACCGGAGAACGAGAGTTTCCTTCCACTCCTGGTAATCGGCATCGTTAACCTTGTAATTCATGGCATAGCAACAATTACCCGTATTAGAGAACTCAGCCCTCCGTGTAGGGGTGCAGTCCCCTTTAAAATTCTGTAACACTTTGCTAAGGTCAAGCAGATGATCTCCCTGGCAGGCCCCACCCCCCTTTTTGCTCTCGATCTATGGAAATACTCCTTTTTTGCCATTGGAGGCATTTATTGCAGGCTGCAGCTCATTCTGAGCCCTTCCTCACGTGTTCTCGGCAGTATCTGATAACTTTAAATGTCTCCCCTTTTTCCTTTGAAGAGCTATGCTTTCCGATCAGTACCTTCTAGTATCCTGTTCAGTGTTTACCATCCTGTTTGCCTCTTTCTCTGCTGTGTTGGAAGTCCTGTTCTTATATTGAATTCTAGGCTCTTCTAGCCCTCCTCCCCTTTTTTTTCCTTTAATATCCACCACTTGCTGAAATTGGTGAGGCGCCTGCAGAACCTGTCCTTGGTCTTGGTGAGAAGTGGCCCCTCTAGCCTTCTTGGGGGGGGTGTAGCAGAGCCCACTCTCAAGGAAGAAAACCTGCCTTGGTGGCAACATCTATGTAGCCTGTTGGTCACTTTCCACCCCTTCAAAGACTCAGCAAAACTTTGGCCGCCTTCCGTGTTTCCTCAAGGTCTCTGGAGAGCCAGTCAGGTCTCACTACAACCTTGTTCACTCCCGGATGGGTCCTTCCTTAGTTACGGCTGGTTGAAAGATCTTGGCAGCCTCTCTGCCACACCCACCCCTGGCAGAGGAGACATCACATGAGGCTTGGCTCCTCCCTTGCTGGTCTTCCTGAGTTGCCCTTGAGTTTCTGGGGCCTGTGGGGGTGTGGGGGGGGGCAAGGCTCACCTGCTCTGCAGAGCGGTGGGTGGCCCTGAGAGCTGCTGCCAGTCACTGGTCTCGGTCGGCCCAGAGAGGAACCTGATCTCTTGTGCCTCCCTTTGTTCTCCTCTCCCAGTTTTTCTTCTCTGACTGTCCTAAGGAGCTTTTCTTGCTTCCCCAGGGAAATCTCCCTTCCTTCCTCCCTCCCTCCCTCCCGGAGCCCTTTCTTCTCTGCCCGAGGTATCTCTGGCCTGGTGTGCTCGTTTCCCATTTGCTCTGGTCAGGAGCTTCCAGGTGATGCTTGGCTGGCCACACTTTGGCTTGGAATTCCTGAGGAGGATCCGGTCAAAGAAGCTATTTTCTCTATTATAGAGAAGTAATAAGGGCAGTTAAAGGGCTAAAAGCCAGATCTTGGGATGAGAAGGGGGGGGCGGGTGTGCAGAAGAACTCTTCAAAAACTCACAGAAGGTCCCAGAAATTGTTCACAATTCTTCTCAGCCACCCCTAAGAGCAGGATACAGAAGTGTGGATTTATTTACAGTATTTCATTTCTGAACTTTGCTTTCTGCAACTCAGGGTGATCCACATAATGCTGCTTCCTCCTATTTTCTCCCAGCAACCCTGTGTGGTGGATTGGGCCAAAAAAGGGGACTGGCCCAAAGTCATCAGCTGGCTTGAGCTTGCAATCTCCCATTACACCAAATTGTGGACTGCAGGAAGGCTGGTTCCAGCTTAATGTTACAAGAGACGTTCTGACAGATCAAGGAAATTTCACTAGCAGAGAAGGTGGCTCCTTGACTGGGTGGGCCCAGGCAGAAGCCGGGCAGTTGAGTTTGTTCCCTGGGCAAAGGGGGTGGGGGGGCTCTAAAGACCTCAGTGATGTCTTGAGCTTGGAAGAGGAGAATGAAGGAGAAGACAAAAAGGGCCCTTGGGCTCCTAGCATGGGTGGGCCTGGGGCTGGGCCAGGTTAGGGGCATGAGGCAGTCCAGAGTTGCACATGCCACCCTTTTTCACCTACAGCTTTTTGCAAATGACGTGCTGGAGTTGTTTTGTTTGGACTGCAGACGTGTGTCAACAGAGGTCTTCGGACAGGCCATGCCGCTTGGCAAATACTGGCGTCTCGCCCTCCAGGCAGGTATGCGTGAATGGAAGGTGGCAGAGGACTAGGGCTCTCTTTGCAAGGCCGGGCACTGGTAGTTCATTCAGGCTGGCCAAGCCTGTTCCTCTGACCGGCAGGAGGGTTTGCAAAACCTGGAACATGTGCTTCTCCTTCAAACAGCAAGGGGGGGGGGCGTGATTTGTAGACCATCCCAAGGGGCCGGGGGGGCAGGGCACTAAAGAGGGACAGCAGCCGTTGCCTGCCTCTGACTGCGCCTGCCCTCACCCGCCTTGCCCTTGCAGAGCCACCCTCTGCTGCCAGCGAGTATGCCCAGGCTGCAGCCCAAGCTGTCCTAGCTCCGGTCATTCAAGGCGTCCGGTGGCTGCCCCGGGATTCTCAGACTCTGGTCCTCAGCCAGGTCACAACGGCATTCTTGGAAGTCTGGATGGAGCACATTCTGGCCCAGAAGATCAAGTTCAGGTGAGTTGGCCTGTCGGAGGGCCCTTGGCTGGGTGGGCTGGTCCGGCTGGCAGGCACCCTTTGCCAACTGACCCTTTCAGCCTCCAGGGAGCCCTGCAGCTGAAGCGGGACTTCGATCTGGTGCGCGAAGCCCTGCAGTTGGAGGAGTACGAGCTGCCCGCAGAGGTGAAGCAGCTGATTTTCTCCCTTCGGGTCTTCCAACAAACGGACAATGCCATCGCCTGCCTCCTCCAGCAGCCCAGCAAGGGCGCCTTGTCCTCACACAGCTGGGATGCCCTGCAGAAGTGCTGTGAGTGCCGCCTGGGGGCGGGGTAAGGCAGAGCTGGAGGAGGGTAGTGGGTACCCCGCCCTCTCATTCGCGTGGCCCTGTGGAAGGGGGGCACTTGACTGGCTAGAGTGGCCAAGGGCTGGGATTTGGAGCCACAGGCCACAGAAGGGTCCCAGCTCAGGAGACATGGCATGGCTGGGAAAGTGCCCCAGTGCAAGAGCTCTTAGTGCCCACCCATCCATGCTGCCCAGGGTTCTTGCCATGGCTGGCTCTCTTGCTTGGTGGCCTTTGTCCTGCTTCCTCTGTGCTGAGTCCCCCCCACTTCCTCCTCCTCCGCTCCAGGCTCACGTGATGGAATGCGATCCTGGCATGGCAGCCCAGGCAGCCTGAGCAATCTGGAACACCTGGAAGGGCTGTCCGTTCATGCTCGAGCTGGGCCAGAGAGCTGGGCAGCTGACTTGCTGAGCCATGCCCCAGGGGGTGGCACAAGCTCCGAGACTTACCTGAGCCTGGCCCAGCAGGAGTGGCTGGCGCTGCGGCTGCATGGGGCCCGCCACTGGAGGATGCCTGCCCTCTCGTGCATGAACCACCCTTCGGAGACTTGAGCAGCAGCCTTGGATCCGGCTGGGCCTCCAGCACCTGATCTCTGCCTGCCCTGCATGAAACAGCCCTCCCTCCTTCGGGACGTCTGAGTTGCTGGGCCTTCCAGCCTCCCTGGAAGTGGGGGCTGGAGGTGTGGGAAAGAGCCCAGTTCCTTGGAGGGCTTCCTTGCTCCAGCAAGTTTCTTCCAGCCCCCCACCCCCGACAATTGGCAAGCCCTGATTTTGGTATAGGAGCAAATCCACAAGTAGCAGCCTCTTGCTCTGACTCGGAGCAATTCCTCGTCCTGGCTGGGCATTCTGCAGGATGAGGGAGGCTCGGCTGGGCTGTAGCGCAGGGTGGGGACAACTGGTCTGGCTCCTGGGCCATCTTCTGCTTGAAAGAGCAGGGAGCCAGGTGAGGGGCTGGCCCTGCAGGACCCTCACCCTCTTGGTTCTGTTACCCGCTCCCCTTTAGGGGGCATCTGGGACTCGGGTGCTAGTAAGTGCAATTGGGGCATTTCTTGGGATGTTTGGGAGGGGGAGGAGGAGGCCTGCGCAGGTGATGCAAAGGCCTGGCCACCTCCACCCCCTGCCCAGCCTGCCTTGCAGGAGACGCACAGATGCTACAGCTTCTGTGAGGCCCGGTTTTCTCTCCTTAGGCAGGGACCTGAAAGTGTGCCATTTGTCCCTAGCCCTCAAAATCCTTTTCCTCTTTGAACCATCCGCATCTGACCATCCAGCGTCTTGGCCTTAACAAAAGTTGTTACCTCTCAGACACCAAAAAGCCCTGGGTGGTTGCTGGTCTTTTGAAACTTTTGGCTGCTGTTTGTCTCTACACTGTTGCTGGGCAGCCGGAGGAGGCGGATGGGTGGCAGCTCAGGCAGGTGTCCTGATGCTCAGGGAGACTCAGGGAAGCCCCTTCCTGGCCCGATGGCTTCAGAGGCTGGTTGTCAGTGATACATTTGGAGATCTTCCCCAGGCAGAAACAGATGACTGATTTCTACATTCATCTTGTGTGAAAGAGAAATAAAGGTTATGATATACCTTGCAGTTTCCCAAGGTGGTTTGTTCTATAGATAGCATCTCTTTCTCTGCAGAAACCTGGTGTCATCTTTGGTTGGGGTTTATTTTTCTTGGCTGATTTTGTTATATGAAGTAAGCCTATGGTTAGTTTATGGTTTGGTGCAGTGGTGGGTTTCAAAAGTTTTTACTACCAGTTCTGTGGGTGTGGCTTGGTGGGTGTGGCAGGGGAAGGATACTGTAAAATCTCCATTCCCTCCCCAACCCAGGGGAAGGTTACTGCAAAATCCCCATTTCCTCCCGATCAGCTGGGACTTGGGAGGCAGAGAATAGATGGGGGCGTGGACAGTCAGAATTTCTGCTACCGATTCTCCAGAACTGGTCGGAACCTGCTGAAACCCACCTCCGGTTTGGTGCAATGTGTGGACACAGAACATGGGTTAAATCTCTGAGCCTGAACCTGGCAAATTTCCCGAATGTCATTGATGCAAGAGTTGATCCACCAAGACTGACCAGCTGCTCACTACCCTGGCTTGTATTCCCCCTCCCCAAAGGCCAAGGGCTTCGGAGGTGCTATTCGTGACCTGCCCAACCGCAGAGCACTAGGCTTTTTCTGATTTGAAGCAAAAGGAAAACGCTCAAACATATTTGGAATTTAAAGAGAAAAAGGTAGGGTTCTGTGTCGGGAGACGCAGATCAGGCAGCGGAGGTCCCACCCGGAGGTGGATTCGGGAGGTCCTGCCTTCCTCCCTCGCCGAAGAGGTTCGCCACTGTCAAGCAGTTCTTGACAGCTATCGCCCGAGTTCCCTTCGGGGCAAATGGGGTGGTTCGCGGGGGGGAGGGGAAGGGAAAGGGGGGCTGAGCGGAGCCCAGGAAGGAAGGGGAGGCGGCTTTCCCCATCGCCCCGGAGACAGAGGCTGCCCGTGGGGGGGTGGGACGTTGCGGATCTCGAGCGCTGCCCGCCAGGCTTTCCCGCAGGGCTGGCTGGTGGACTGCGCGGGGTTCGAGCCCTTTGCCTTCTGCCCGAAGAAGCTTCTTGGATGAAAAGCGAGACGCCTTCAAGGGGGGAAAAAGTTGCCTTTTGAAGGGGGGGGGGAAGCACCTTTGGGACAACCCAAAACGCTGGGAAACAGGTTGTGCCGCAACCAGACCGGGAGGGAACCGGCGAGCAGCCCTTCTCGCTCCGGGTCTGAGGCCGAGGACCCCCCACAGCAAGAACGGCTTCCCGGGGCAGCCACGGCCCGAACCCTCTGCGGGGAAGCCCCAGGCTGGCCGGACTACCAGTTCCGGCAGCCTCGGCGCCCTCGGCCCCGCCTCTTCCGGGCGCATTTCCGGCGGGGCGGCGGCGGCGGCGGCTGGCTGGGCGGCCTCTCTCTCGCTCTCCTCATGTCGGCCTCGGCCATCCCGGCCAGCTCTGGGGAGCTGCTACGGGGCGACCGCGGCCCCTTCCCGCCGGCAAGTGCCGCGCCCCTCCCCGCGCACTGGGCCCCGTCCGGGCGGGGGCGGCTCCCCGCCGCGGCGCTGCCATTGGCCGCCCTCCTGGCCGCGGCCTCCCCCCGCTGGCGCGGAGCCAAGCCGGAGCCCCCGGGCGCGGCGGGGAGGCGGACCCCGGCCTGCTCCGTCCCGCCGAGCGGCCGCCCCGGCCCCGATTCCCGGGCGGCCCAGACGGCGAGCGCTGGCTGGGCGGGAAGCTCCTCGGGCCGCGCCCTCCGCCCGCCCCCCCCGGCCTGACTCCTTGCCTGCGCCCCCTCCCCCCCCCCCCCCCGGGCCCGGACAGAGCGGGCGGCGAGGCGGCCGATGCGCTGGCCGAGGAGCTGGAGGGGGTGGACGGAGACGCGCAGCCGTGGAGCCTGCAGGAGAAGGCGCTGCACGAAGCCCGGCTGAAGGCCAAGGGGAAGCGGCGGCTGCGGCGGACCTCCTCCCGCGATTCCCCCCGGGAAGGCCTCCCCGAAAAGGGGGAGCCGGAGCCGGAGCCCAGCAGCCCGAAGGGCAAGAACCACGACCGCAAGTCCCGCATGGGGAAGGGCCGCGGCCTGCCCAAGAAAGGTAGGGCGGCCGAGCCCGTTCGCGGGGCGGTCCTGGAGCTCGGGCGGTGCTGCCCGGGGAGCAGGCCTGACAGCCCCCTCCCTCTTTCCAGGCGGGGCAGGGGGCAAAGGCGTCTGGGGAGCGCCGGGGCTTGTCTACAGCTACCAGGAGCCGGATGCCCGGGACCCCAACTACGACGAGGCTGCACAGGTACCGCCTGAGGGGGGGAGGGGGGGCTGGGTTTAAAAAGCCTCCCAGGAAAAGCTTGGAAGTCTCGGCTGAGAGGGTGAAAGGAACAAAAAGGCCCAGTCGCCCTTCACCCCACCCCGTCCTCCTCCCTGAGCCCCCCTCCTCCACTTGGCTTGGCTGGAGAAGGTGCTGCGCTGGGGGGGGGGGTCCTTTAAAGCCACTGCAAGCCTCTTAGTTGTTCAGCAGGGTTGGTGCTCCCGGCCTTTCCTCTTGGAGGTCCCAGCAGAAGCAGACTTGGGCAGTGGTGATGGCCCAGAGGCCAGGTAGCTCTTGAAGGGCCAGGTCTGAGGCCAAGGAGAGACTAGGGAGGAAGCCCAGGAAGGAGGGTCTTTAATGGCCGCTGGACTTTTTTTAGGGAAAGACTGTCTATGCCACGGTGGTGCCTGAGCTGGAGGAAGAGGAGCTGGAGAAGACTGTGCAGCCGATGGTGCTGGAATATTTTGAGCACGGAGACACCCTGGAAGTGGTGGTGAGTCTTAGCAGGAGTAGAATTTCCCCCCCCCCCCCCGGTTTTTTCAGGCAGGGAACCCCCCCCCCCCCCAAGAGGGAGCTTCTGGACCACTCACAGGCACAGAGCCTGAAGGAGGGGCTGGGTTGTCTAATCAGGAGAGGCTCTAATTAGTATGCTTGTCTCTAGTTGAGATCACTGAACTCAGGTTCACTCGGTCAGCCACTGGATCCAGGAGATTTAGTTGGAAAGCCAGCTGAAATGTCAAAAGAAGAAAAAAGTGAAAAAGGAGGGTGCTTTGATGAAAGTGGTGAGGGAGGACCGATCTGAGGCTCTTTTGTGCTGGGGCAGAGTGCTGCCTTCAAGGGCTTTCCTTCCTCCAAGTCCGTTTCTCTTCACTTGTGTCCAGCCATCTTGGAGGTCTGCTTGAAAGGGAAGCCAGGAACTGCTCAGGGTGGCATTCCTGGCACAGAGAAGCGCCAGGCGGGGTCCCAGCAGAAGGGCTGATGGAAGCAGCACTTCCAGCCTCCGAAATTAGCTGAGTTTAAGTCCTCTGGGTCTGAGGGCTCCTGTAAAGGCTGTTCTTAGGATCTCTCTTGCTGAAGCCAAAGCTTCATAAAAAGCTGATGGGTTTTTTTTAAAAAGTTCTTTTATACCTTGAAAATTGGATAGAATTTTTAACACAGATGGTTTCTTTTAACTGGGTTGACTTCTCTGGAGCAGTTTGACCTGCTGTGTGTTTTGGCCTTTCATTGAAATGAGTCTCTCTGCATTGTACAGGCCTTTTAAATCATGTGATTATCTTTGAAGATAATCTTGCCTGTACTAAAAGTGCAGCTCCTGCAAGTCGATTTAAATCCCTCATGCAAGACGAGTAAACTCAGTGTCTCTGCTGCTTGCAGAAGCCCTGAGAAGCATATAGCTCGGGCTCTGGGGTCCCAGCAAGGCCACACCTCGACTGGTAGAGGCACAGCCCTCACCTGGCCCCTCTTCCCTCCTTTGTCAGGAGCTGCTTCGGAATCTGAACTTGGGGGGGCACAAGGCAGCTGTGTCCTCGCTGGCTGTGGTGCTCTCTCTGGAGGGGAAAGCCAGCCATCGCGAGCTGACCTCCCGCCTGCTCTCGGACTTGGTGGGGAAGGTGCTGAGTGCCGAGGACATTGCGGCTGCTTTCGATGGGATGCTGCATGACCTCCCCGACCTCATTCTTGACACACCTGAGGCACCGCAGGTCAGTTCTGCCCAGGAAGGGGAAGGGGGTTTTTTCCTCTTCTGGACACCGTGGCCCCTGACCTTGCGGCCCCTTGTCTTGCCTGTGCAGATGTTGGGTCAGTTCATCGCCCGGGCTGTGGCTGACCACGCGCTCCCCCTCAACTTCCTCGAGCGCTACAAGGGCCGTGTGGACTGTGAGCACGCACGGTGAGAAGGCCAGCCTCGTACATGCTCTGCCCTCGGGGGGAGGGAGGGCCACCCCCGGGCTAACGGGAAGTGTATGAGAGACACAAGACACAAAACACACAGTCTGGCTCTTCCCTCGGTTGCTGGATATCCTTTTCTTTCCCTGCAGGGCTGCTCTGGATCGTGCTGCCGTCCTGCTGCGCATCAAGCGAGACGTCAATCAGCTGGACAACGTGTGGGGCGTGGGGGGCGGCCAGAGGCCAGTCAAGCATCTGATCAAGGAGGTGAAGAGCTGGAAGTGGGGACGCTTGGTCTGCCCTTGACTGCGTCTCTGGCGGTTCTTGAGTGGCCTTTGGATGCTTGGTCATCAGCCAAATGCACGGGGTTCGAGAAGGGGTGACTGACCGAGGAATGTCTTTGGAGCCAGGCATGCGGAGGGAGGGAGGCTGCTCCATGCTCAAGGGAAGTAAGCATGCAAAGGAGCTGCAGGCCTCAGGAAGCAAAGGCTGTGAAGTTGCAAGGCTGCAGGAGAATAAGAAATCAATTCCAGCAACAGTTCTTATTAATGAATTCAAGCTTGGTACTGAAAATAGCCAAACCCAGTTTATAAGACTTATTAAAATGCGCTGGTGAAACACAGAGCAGCTCCCTACCTAGGAAGGGGTCTCCATAGAATAAAGGAGAGGGGCCTTGGAGACCTCAGGATGGACTGGGCAGTGTGTGTAGTGCTGTGTAGTGCTGTGAAGTGGGAGGGGGGGTACAGGAACTATAAAGTGGCGGTGGGGGGGGGCCTATGAGACTCTAGCAATGCAGAAGAGCTCTGCACCAGGCTGCGGTCTGGTGCAGAGCTCTTCTGCCCTCCAAAAAGTCTTGAGAAGCTGCACCCAAGACTTGACTGGACTGCAGCCCCTAACTCCCCTTCCCCAGATGAACCTCCTGCTGCGTGAATACCTGCTCTCTGGAGAGGTGTCTGAGGCCGAACGCTGCCTGCGCCAACTTGAGGTGCCCCACTTCCACCATGAGCTTGTTTACGAGGTAAAGAAGGGCAGGAGCTCTCCTGTTCTGGAGCTGGTGGGGAGGGAGAACACCACGATCAGACTGGCCAGGCCCAGGGCAGGGAGCTCTCACCTCCTTGGTAGGCCAGTGCCTAGTCGGGCCTGCTTTGCCGACTGGGCTGATGGTCGGCAATCCCTGCCTTGCCCACTCTTGCTGTGGGTTCATGCCCCCCGTGTTCGTGCCAGGCTGTGGTGATGGTGATGGAGTCTTCGGGAGATACGGCCGTTGCCATGATGGTGAAGCTGCTGAAAGTGCTGTGGCAGACGGGTCTGGTGACCCTGGATCAGATGAACCGGGTAAGACCCGGAGGGGCTCCAGCTGAGCCTTTGCCACCCACAGGGTGGTGGCTCCTGAGAACCTGCCTGCAACAAGCCCCCCTCTCCCCCTTCCCGTCTGTCTCAGGGCTTCCAGCGGGTCTACAATGAGCTTGGAGACATCAGTCTGGACGTGCCGCTGGCCTACAGCATTCTCGAGCGGATGGTGGATCTCTGCTTTGAGGAGGGTGTTATCACCAGGCAGCTGAGAGAGACCTGCCCTGCCCGGTAGGTCCTACCCAAGTATTTTTGCCTAGGCAGGGGAACCATGTTGGCTTCAAGGAAGAACTGACCCACCCCCACCAACTATCTGTGAAACAGCTTCCTGGCCTGTTTTAGAAAAGTTGTGTCCAGATGTTCCTCTTTAAGGGCTCTTCTGCACGCTTGAGGGCACAAGAGGCAGCCAGTTGAGATGAGAGAGGATCAGATGGTCTTGTGAACAGCTCAGGAGACCCACTGGTCATCCTGCCCTGGCCTCTAACTCCCCTCTTTCTCCTCAGGGGCCGGAAGCGCTTTGTCAGTGAAGGAGACGGCGGCCAAATCAAGCAATAACTGGAAGATTTCAGCACCCCCACTCCCCCCCCAGCAATGCCTTCAACCCAGCCAAACCTGCCAGTCAACAGAGGAGCCCAGAAACCTTTGCTGAGCACCCACTATTCCCCTCCCCCGAGCAGCGTGTCCAGCGGGCGGGAGATCTGTCGGGAGTGAACTGGGGACCTGCACTTCTGCCTGACCAATGGGGGGCGGTGGTTCGGTAAAAGCAGGAGAAAGAGGAAGGCTTGTTCTCCCGCAGGGCATATCCACATGCCCACTCCCACAGTGCGGCTGCCACCAGCAATTCATCTCAGGAAGCCTCAGGCCAGCTGGAACTGCCGCAGTAGTGGTGGTGGTGCTGTTTGGATTTGCTGGGCAGCAGGGCTGAGAAGGCAGAGGAGGGGCACTTCCCTTGCAGCCTCTGGCTAGCACAGAGTGGTTTGGTTTCTGCCTTGTGCAGCTAGTTCCAAGGCACTGTGGGAAGGACAGCTGACTCCCTGCAGCCAAAGAACCTCCTGTTCCCAGGACCCCTTGAAGCCCCCTTGCCACCCACAGATGCAGGCGGGGGGCTGGCTGGGTTGAGGGCTGAGGAGAAACCAGCTGAGCACCCTGACTCTGCCTGGGTTAAAGGGGAGCTGCTGCTGCTTGGCGCTACCCATGACTGGCAGAGAGGCTGAACAAGTGGACATCAGTGCAGGAGGGAATCATGCCAAACTGCTTAATGGTCTTTCAGGCAAAGGTGGTAATGGGAAATTAAAATAAATGATTTACTCAAAAGGGCTCAGGCATCTTGTCTCTTGCTGCAAACAGAATAGCTATTTGGTCATTTGTTTTTGGAAGTAAAGAGTGGCATCTCACTCGCAAAAACATGAGTATAGGGTGTCTTACAAGGAACCCCTCCTTCCCCCCCAATGTACAGGATTCAATGTGCAGCTGGAACTCCTGAATAGATTCAAAGAAAGCTGATTTCACATGAAATGCTCAATTGTGAAATTATAGATTTAGAACATAAAATCATTGGACTGGAAGGGATCTCTGGAGTCTAATGGTACAACCCTCTGGTCAAGGCAGGAGCCTTACACCATCCTGGTCAAACTGTTGTCCAGTCTGTTTTTGAAAACCTCCATTGGTGGAGTGGCCACAACTCCAGGAGACAAGCTGTTTCATTCTTTTCATACTTCTAGGCAGTCACTCTCTTTAACAAGCTTCCACCCATTACTTCTTGTCCTGCTCTCTGGTGCTTTGGAGAATAAGTCAGTCCTCTTCTGTGATTCCTCAGGTACTTGATGATAGTTTCCATGTCTCCCCCTAGTCCTTCTCTTCAATAGACTAGACATAACCTAGCTCCCACAACCATTCATCATACAATTTAGCTCCATCCAGACGCTTGTCATCTTCCTTGCTCTTCTCTTGCATGCTTTCTAGAGTCTCTTGTATTGTGACCAGAACTGTCACCAGTGTGATATAAAGCACTATTATCATTTGTGATCTTGACAGAATAACAGATTTAGAAAGGACCTTTGGAGTTTTCTACTCCAAGCACATGCTCACACAGGAGACCCTTTACCATTTCAGATAAATGGCTGTCCAATCTCTTCTTAAAATCCTCCAGTGTTGGAGCACTCAGCTTCTGGAGGGAAGGCCTTCCACTGATCGTTTTCCCGGAGAGCCAGGTTGCTAATCTCTCCTTGATTAGTTTCCATCTGTTGCTTCTGGTCCTGTGTTTGGGTGCTTTAGAGAATAGGTTGACTCTTTTTTGTGGCACCCTCTTAAATATTGGAAGACTGCTATCATCATATGGCTTCTCCTGCTTGAAGACCTCTTAAGGTCCCTTCCAATTCTGTTATTTCCCTGTTTCGGTGATTTAGTCGCTTTGTCAACAGCTGCGATAAGATTTGTCTCTGCATCATGAGGAGAAACGGGGAGGATCCTCTTCAAGAAAGGCTACTCTCCCAACAAGCCGCCTTCGCCTCCAAAGCAACGGCCGAGGTTGCGGCCAACAGGAAGGAGAGAGGCGCGCCGGGCTCCACGTTGAGCTTAGCCGGCCATCCGTCTCGAGCGCTGGTTGCGCCTCCGGCCTTAAGAGCCAAGCAGCCGGGCCTGCTCTTGCGGGACGGAAGGCCACAGGGAAGCCCCCCCGGGAGCGCCAGACCCCACCCCTCCCCTGCGGGGGCGAGGTTACGCGGCAGGAACTCGCCTTCCCAGAGTGCCCCGGGGCGGAAGGCGGCGCGGGGCCTGCCGGGAGTGGCGCAGGGACACGTCGGTGGGCAGGCGCCGGCCGGGGAGCGCGAGGTCGGATGGCGCGCGAGCGGCGGCGGCGGGCGGGCCCGGAGGGCGTGCGAGCGCAGGAGCGGGGTCCTCGCGGGCCCGGGCGGCGGGAGCGGGGGGCGGCCGGGGACGCGAGGCCGGCGCTTTTCGTGCTGCCGGCGTTGCTGCTGCTGCTGCTGCTGCTGCTGGGCTGCGGCCTTTACGCCCGGTGGGGGCCCGCCGCGCGCCTGGTGGCCCCGCACGCCTCGCCCCGCGCCCTCCCGCCCGGCAGCACCGGCCCCGTCGCCGCGCCCGCCCGCTTCTGGGGCTCCTACCGGCCCCAGGTCTACTTCGGCATGAAGACGCGCAGCCCGCGCTCGCCGGTGGCAGGTGAGGAGGGGGGTGGGGCTGTTGCGGCGGCCCGGCGGCCCTTGACCCGCCCGCTGCCGGCCGTCACATGTGGATCCTTCCCGCAGGCTTAATGTGGCTGCAGCAGCTGGAGGGGGACGTGCGGCTGCGGCACACCTGCGAACAGAGCGACGGCCTCCCTCGCTACGGCTGGCTGCTTCACGACGGCACCCATTTTGGGGTGCAGGAGATCCAAGACCTGGGCTTCAGCCTGCAGACGGAGGTTGTGAAGCGTCCCGGCGGGCAACACGGCGGAGACTGGAGCTGGAGAGTGACGGTTCGCCCAGAAGTGAGTGGGGGGAAAGGGGCCTGTCCCACGTGGGGGGGATTTCCTGAGTGACCCGCTTCTTATTAGGAGGCATCTGTTCCACTTCCTTACCGGCGGGAGATGGGCGGTTGCATGGCCTTCCGGCTGCTTGGCTGAGCAACGTGGCTGCCATGCCAGGTCAAGCTTGGAAGTTCAGCTTGCAGCCTTGGGTGACTGGAAAGCAAAAGGAAGCAAACAAAGGCTGTTTTTTTCTCTTGGCAGTCTAGTTACAACCACAGCTGTAGGGAAGCAAGAAATTAAGGGGGTTGTCTGCTTTCTTGTGTCATCTTTGTGCATTTAGAGGACGGGGCCCACGCCTCCCTTCATTTCCCTCCTTTTCTACGTGGCAACCGATGGGCAAGGAAGACTGCAGCCTCTGATAGAGGAGAAGAGTCGGCTGGCATCACTAAGAGGACAGACAGAAGAACTGGGGAATTTCACTGTGACATTCAAGCCGCCCACCACAGAGACCGGCACCCCCCTTTATGCCAGGTAGGAAACATTGTTGCTCAGGGAGTGAGGGGCCAGGCTTTCCCACAGAGGTTTCCCACACCCTTCTGTCTCCCACTAGGTATAATCACCTGCAGGCGATGGCGGAAGGACTGCATCGCCTGACTGACGTGGTGAAATCAAGCCTGAGACCACGGTTTTCCTACGCTCCACCGGGGCTTCCCAAGCGCCATTACTTTGGCGTGGACGTCTATCAAGGCCAAGCAGGGGACAGAGAGTTACGCAGCCAGCTCCTAATTCACCAGGTGACGGTGGCTGTGCCCTGCCGCGTTGAAGTGGCTTTTGAGTCGGGCAGTGTGCCTGACCGTCCAGACCGGCTCCTGGCAGAGACGCTGACGCAAGAACTGGACAAACATGTGGTCGCCTTTGAGCAGCGCTTTGAGGAGACCTTCGGCCTCTCCCGTAAGGGCTTCTCTGAGCAGGAGCAACACTTTGCCCGGGCTCTTCTCAGCAACATGCTGGGCGGGATGGGCTACTTCCATGGGCACTCGCTGGTTCAGTCCCCCTACACAGAGGCCCCCCAGCCATACCCTGCAGGGTCTCTCTTCACAGCAGTGCCCTCCCGCTCCTTCTTTCCCCGGGGCTTCCTGTGGGATGAAGGCTTCCACCAGCTCCTCCTCGCACGCTGGGACCCAGCCCTGAGCCGGGAGGTGCTGGCTCACTGGTTCGACCTCATGAACGTTGAGGGCTGGATCCCCCGCGAGCAGATCCTGGGGGACGAAGCCCTGGCAAAAGTGCCCCCGGAGTTTGTGGTGCAGCACAGCCAGGCGGGCAACCCTCCCACTTTCTTCTTAGTGCTGCAGCAGTTGCTCAGGCAAGGGGCGGTGGAGCAGGGCTACCTCCGCCGCATTTATCCTCGCCTGCAAAGCTGGTACGGCTGGTACAATCACACGCAGGCAGGACCCTTGCCCTACACCTTCCGATGGCGTGGCCGGGACCAGGACACTCAGCTTTTCCTGAACCCTAAAACCCTGACCTCTGGGCTGGACGATTATCCCAGGGCCTCCCACCCCTCGGAGGATGAGCGTCACCTGGATTTGCGCTGTTGGATGGCCGTAGCCTCCGCTGTGATGGCCGAGGTGGCCACACGGGTGGGAGAAGCGGAGAACGACTACACACACATGGCTGAGTGGCTCGCAGACAATGAACTGCTGCAGCGGCACCACTGGTCGGAGGCACTAAACACTTTTGCTGACTATGGCAACCACACCCAGGGGGTGGCCCTGGAGCGCGAGCGCCTTCGGCCCCCTCCTCCTGGCCAACCCTCGCCCATTCCAAGGCTGGTCCGAGTGGTCCGCAAATCACCACGGTTGCAGTTTGTGGGAGGGGCTCTTGGCTATGTGAGCCTCTTCCCCCTGCTACTGCAGCTCCTGCGCCCTGATTCCCAGCAGCTGGGCAGCCTCCTGGCAGACATGAAGAACAAGCAGAAGCTGTGGACGCCCTTCGGCTTGCGTTCTCTGTCGCGTAGCAGCCCCTTCTACCTCAAGCACAACACAGAGCACGACCCCCCTTACTGGAGGGGAGCCGTCTGGATCAACATGAACTACCTTGCAGTGCGGGCTTTGCATCACTACAGCCAAGTCGAGGGGCCCTACCGGGAGGAGGCATCCAAGCTATACCATGAGCTGCGCACCAATGTCATTGGCAACGTCCTCCAGCAATACCTGGACTCTGGCTATGTCTGGGAGCAATATAACGACAGCACAGGCCGGGGGCAAGGGTGTTATCCCTTCACGGGCTGGTCAGCTCTGGTTGTGCTCATGATGGCAGAAGAATACTGATTAGCCTGCTGGTGCTCCTGTATCCCTGGGCAGCTTAGCTGGAGTGGCCGGTGCAGGATTCTGGCAAAGGGACGCAGGCGTTGACCTTTCCCTCTGCCCTACTTCATGGGTAGGCATTCAACTCAAAGTGAGGTGGGCAGTGCCTAAATGTAAGAAATTTCATATTGAAATAAAGCTGAGAAGCTTCAAAGCTTTAGCTCCCCTCCTTTGGAAGCCTGGGCAGCAAAGGCATTCCTAATTTTTGAATGGCTGGATAGGAGGGGGGTGGCAAGGGTATGGCCCTAGAGGAATGGTGGAGGGGTTACTGCCCCCACCAAAAGAAACCCCAGCAGCCACATTTCCACAGGATCTCTGAAGCCAGCTTAGTAGGATGGACTGCTTCATCCAGCAGGCAAAGGGAACGTTCTCCATGTCATTTAGAGTAGCTTCACATGAACCAACAAACCTGGCAAGCAGTGCCTCCACAACCGCACAGCAGCTGGATGTTACATTGATGGCCCCCCTCCCCCCACCACCCAATGGAAAGTGCCTTAGAGTCAGGATTTTCCGCGTCTGTTTAATAAGCACACAGTACTACCAGGTGCTGGTAGGACACTGGCCAACAGGAAGGCCAGCTCCCTGCTCCCAGGGCAGAACCGGTGTTGGCAACAGCCATCTCTTTATGCAACCAGCAAACCTCAGTGCAACCTGGAAATGGGGAGGGACTGAGCCTTCACCTTCGCCATGCCTTACATCAAAGCTGGAGCGCAGCAGGAACCACACACAATCAGTATAGTTATGATCCAGCAAGTAGCTCCCCTCCCTGCTGCCAAGGGCCCTGGGCTCCTGCCCCCAGAAGGTTCCCAAGCCAGCACTAAGGAGGGAGCGGAGCGGTAAGGGCAGGAGGCATCCATATGGCTGGGCAGAGGATAAGGCGCTAGTTCTCCACAGTGAACAAGAGGCAGCTCAGTCTCCGAGGTGGGTGGGGCAGCCGAGCACAAGAGCCCCCTTTCAGACAGGCAACGTTGGTGAGGCGGCCAGTTCCTCGGCGTCCCCTTCAGAGGGCTCCCCGTGCTGACTGCAGGCCACCCCTTTGCCAAGCAAGCGGGCACCCTCCTCTTCCTCGCTGTCCTCGGCCGCAGCCTCTTCCTCGTCTTGGCCTCGGCCCACCTCGATCCCGGAGTCCCCGGTCAGGCGCCGGTGTCGCGCCTGACTACTTTCTTCCCGGGCGTCGGGCCCCTCGGAGAGGCGCCGCGAGTCGCTTCCGAAAAGCTCCAAGCCGGAGGAGAAGAGGGCCTGCTTGGGGGAGGCGGCGGTCCGCCCCCAGCCGTCCCCCTCGGAGCGGCCGCAGCCCCCGTCGCCCTCGCCCTCCCGTGGGCTGGGGCTGCTGGCCTCGGTGGCCGACAGGGAGGTGCTGCCGGGGGACGTCAGGCAGCTGGACTCGCAGGAGCAGCTGGTGCAGTTCTCGGAGCTGCCGCTCAGCGTCAAGGTGCTGGAGCCCCCGAGGAGGACGGCGGGGGCGCTGCTGTAGGGGGGCGGCGGCGTGGCGGGGCGGCGGCCCACCTCCTCGTAGGCCGGCAGCTTGAAGGAGGCCAGCATCCCTGCAAGGGAGGAGAGGCGCGGAGCTCAGGGCCGGGAGAGTCGGGCAAGCCACCCCTCCTGGGCGCGCAGAGCGGGCCACTCACGGAGCTCCCCCGCGGAGGGCGGGTAGTTGCAGGCACCCTGGTAGGCAATGAGGTTGATCTCGCGCTGCCGCTGCTGCTGCTGCAGGCGCAACTTGGCGCGACGGTGCCGGTAGGCGCAGCAACAGCTGAACAGGATCAGGACCGTCCACAGCAGCCAGAACCCTGCGGAGGGGCGGGGGGGGGGAAGGCGGTCAGCCGGGTGCAGATGCCGCCGCCGCCGCCGCCCGCCCGGCCCTCGCCGGCCCTTCGGCCCCCCCCCCCCCCCCCCCCCGCCCCCCCCCCGCCGCCCCCCTGCGCCTCACCTGCCGCTCCCGGCCCAGCAGCGCCGCCGCGCCCCACCCGGACTGCGCCTCCCTCCCCGACGGAGGCGGCCGCGGCGCTTCCATGGTGGCCCTACGGTCGGCCCGGCCGCCGGCCCGCCTCCGTCCCCGCGTCCATCCCGCCCCGCCGCCCAGCTCGCCTCCCCAATCCCCTTGTCGCCCGGGCCGCCGCTGCCGCCATTGCTCCCGGCGCGGCTCCCGCCCCGCCGCCGCCCGCCGCCAATGGGCTTCTCCCGCGGGGCCAGGACCCAATCGGGTGTGCGGCGACCTTGCCCGCCACCCAATCAGGCTTCGCCTTCGCCCCTAACAACAGCAGACAAAGGCGAGCGAGGGTCCGCCCCGCGGACGGCTGACCCCCCTGTGCCACTCAGAGCCGGCTCCGCCCTCCGGCGCCGAGGACTGGGCTGGGTCAGGAAGATTGACGTGCGCGCCGGCCATCCGCTTGGAGAAGAGGCAGCCGACCTTTTGCGGACCAATAGGAAGGGATGAATGCGCATCCACCCCGTGACGAGGAGGGAGGGCAAGACTTCCGGCTACCGCCACTTCCGGGCCCTCTGGCTTAGGGGCTCCTTGAGCGGCCCCGGCGGAGCCTCAAAATCCCCCCCGGCGATCGTCAGAGGCAGCCGCTCCGTTTCCAGCCTTGGGCTGGAGGCGCTCAGAGGCCCAAAGGCGCTGACAGTCGGGACCCGAAGCAAGCAGCGCCGCCCTCCACTGCCCGCCCCCCCCCCCCCCCCCCCCCCCCCCTTCCCCCCTTCCCTGCCTCTCTCAGTGGCTGCTGCCACATACCAGGAAGCCGTTTTTATTTCCTTCCCTCCAAGGGACCTTCTAGGACTGGCTCATCAATGCACTTTTCGCAAAGTCTTCTTTTCTGTCTGGATTTCAGTCAGATGGTTGGTGTTGGTTGTTGCAGGTCAGCCAAGATCTCCTTCGGCGGTTATTTCTTCTTAAAGAAGAAACCATCTGCTCAGTCTTGAAGCCAGTTTTCCTCTCGCAGCGGCCTAGCTACATTTCCATGGATCTTAACCTTCTGGGCACGTTAACATTGGCATTGGTTTGGCAGCTTTGCCCTTTAACGTGCTTGGCTGTCGGCGTCCTCCTCAGGTGACTCTGCCCTTTTTTTGTCCATGTTTGTTATGCTGCACATAACGCAAACTGCCCAAGTATCTTTTTTCCATTAAAATAGGCTGGCCGAGACTGAAGATCCCTGTGATAGTAATTTCTTTATATTTCACATTTGTAAACCGCCCGTGTCCCACGGGACAAATATTCTGCTTGTGAGCTCACCACATTCCATAAGTAATTTCTAACTTCTAAGGCAAGGGTGTCAAAACTCAATTTCATTGAGGGCCGCATCAGGGTTTTGTATGACCTGGGGAGGGCAGGAGGGCATGGCCAACTCGATGTCATTCATCAAGTCTCCATTTTTAGCCATCGAGGGGCTAAAGGGCCTCCTGCAGCCCTTTGCCAGAGAAAACGAAGCTCGGGGAGGACGTGTGTAGCCCGCCTGGGCTGAGTTTTCGCTGGCAGACAGTTGCAGGAGGCGGTCACAGCCAAAAATAGCCTGGGCAGGCCATGTGAGGTCTTCCCGAGCTCCGTTTTTGTGGAGGCCGTCGTGGCCAGAAATTGAGCCTGGGCGGGCCGTGCATGGCCCTCCCAAGCTCCATTTTCGTTGGCAGAGAGACCTCTGAGGCCAGCCCTTCGCTGTTTCCAGGGCGGGCCTCTAGGCCAGATCTGACCTTGAGTGACACCCCTGTTCTAAGGGATACAAATAATTATGTCCATGTCTTTTTCATTTTTCTATTTATAAAAATATATTAAGTCATACAAGAAAAGTATGAAGATTCTTAGTCACCCAGATCTTGGTTGTCCCAAAGATGCTTTTTCAAAAGGCAACCATTCATTCAGAACTGAAGAAGCTTCTTGGATGAGAAGTGAAATATCTTTAAACAAAGAAAGTCCTGTTGCCTTTTGCAAAAGCACCTTTCGGGCAATAAAAACACTGATCTATGCACTATGGAATTAAGAATAGTGTGGGGTCACTGTATCGTGTCAGTTTCGACTTGTTTTCTTCCAATCACATCTGATTCTCTTGAGATTGCCCGATCAAAATCCCTGCAGTCTTCCTGAAGTTTTTCAGAAGTGTTTGCAAGTACCTCTTAGCCCTTAGAAAGTGACTAGCCCAGTTGGCTTTGTGCCTAAGGTAGGATTAGAACTGGCAATTGCCCGGTTCTAGGCCGATGCCTTAGCTGCTGGCCTAAACTAGTATAGTATAGGTTTCAATTTATTTCAGAGCAAAGGGGTTCTTTTGGAAAAGTGAAGGGAATCTATCAGGAATCTATGCCTTCCTGAACAGCCAGCTCTTGACATCTCTTGGAAATGACGAGGGCTAGGTTTACACTGGAGTTTACCCCTCCCCCAGAGAATGCCTGCTCCAACCCAGTGGTGGGTTTCTACCAGTTTGGGCAAACCGGTAGTGGCGGCAGCGGGAGGCTCCACCCACCCACCCGGATGTCATCACGGACGCTCTGCACATGTGCAGAAGGACCACGCAAGGAAAGCGAGCACGCAAGCGCTCTCTCTCCCAATTCCGAACTGATAGTGAACGTAAGTGGAACCCACTACTGCTCCAACCACTTCATCCTTCTGCCTCTCTTGATGGATGAGGAGCCTCAGCAGGCAATCTCTACCCCAAGCAAAACGGCATAATGGGGAATTAGCAGTGCCTTAAATTGCTCTTGGAAACCAACGACCAGTGAACCATGGCAATACAATGCAGGCTCCTGTTCCTGCAGTCAAGGGGAGGGAGGGAGAAGGGCAAGTTCAAAAACAAATTACACCACCACGCCAGGTGACCCGAACGTCTCTTGTTCCAGGAATGGCTGCAATCAACACACAAGGAAGCTGGGACAAAGCCTTTCTGGCCAGAGCACCTAATTATTCCATCAGCACAAGCCAGGAGAGTCCCAAGTTGAGGCGGAGACATAAACCTACCCAGAGATAAAATTGTGCTTTTGCAGATGCAGGATTCTGAGTAAAGCTTCCATGGTTTCAGTCTGAACCCCCTTCCCCCATCCACACATTCCTGCCCCTTGGCCCAGAACGCATAACCAGTTGTCATTGGCGTTCAGGTGACCCTCCCATCAACCCCATGGATTGCCTCATTCTCCCGAGCTTTGGCAACAGTTCAGGGAGAGGATTTTTTTTTTTTTGCTTTAATTTATATGCCGCCCTTCTCTGGATACTCAGGGCGGCTTACAATGCGTTAAGCAATAGCCTTCATACTTTTGTATATTTATACAAAGTCAGCTTATTGCCCCCACAATCTGGGTCCTCATTTCACCTACTTTTGAAAGGATGGAAGGCTGAGTCAACCTTGAGACTGGTGAGATTTGAACTTGCAGTAATTGCAAGCAGCAGATGTTAATAACAGTGCTTTAGTCCACTGTACTACAGGCTCTTCAGGATTAATACATGGGGCACCTTGAACGCAACCTTTCCTTCCCCATAACTACTCTGGCATCTTCATGGGCAACCCAGAAGGACACCACACTCAACGGCACTCACAGGGCTGAGGGTCCCCTCATCCAAAGCCCCTCACAAGACAGAAACCAGTACTTGGATGCAGATTCTGGCCAGTCGCAGCAATGCTAGCCTAAGGGGCTGGGTAGTACCAAGGGCAGTGGGAAAGCAGATGGCCCTGCAGCCACTGCCATCGGTAGCTTCTCTGAAATCACTTGCCAAAATCTCCCTTAAATCTTCCCAGTTTCTCCTTGGAGAGCTCCCTGGTAGGAAAAACTGAGGAACAAGGAGCCCATCTGGGTTTCTCAAGTTAGTTTCAGGGTATCTTTAATGTTGACAATAAATCAATTTTCCTGCAAGCTGATTGACTTAGTGAAGACCTGCCAGCAACCAGCCACTTTCTTCTGCATCCTGTACAAATGACGAGTACTTCTGCTTCCATCCGTCTTGAGAAGAAGCAGCCCCCAGAAAGGCAAGAAATAATGCCCGTCACCACTGACACCGTCTTCCAAGTCCATATACATACATACATACATACGCACACACCATGGTCCTGTTCTCTCCTCCCCACTGCAGTGGCTCAAGGGGAACAGAGCCCTCCATTTTCAACACAGTCGCTGCAGCAAGAGGAGCTGTCCAAGGGGCTCGCACTCTGCACAGCCAGAGATGTGCTTGTTCCTGAATTGGCTGCCGTACAGATCCCAAGGCTGTTTGGACATCCACATCTTGCCCCTCTGCCCGCAGCCACCTGGGAACAGAGCTGGCACACCCCTTCCAGACCACAGAGGCCTTCAGGGTGACCACCGGGCACCGACTGTCCACCAGAGTAACTATGCTGGCACCTCCTGAAACAGCAGGTTCTTTTTGTAACAATCCAGGCTACAAAGGGGGATCCCAGTGCGGGAACAGGAGTACCGCTTGAGGTTGGGGCAGCCGATAACCCCACACGGCATGGGGGGAGGCACTACCCTTGGGAGGGAGGGCAACACGGGCAGGGAAGTTCCTGGCGGGAAAGAGACGGTGATTCCAGAGGCAGCACTGCGGTAGCTCACTGTGGGGACTGCCATGCTTTTGGCCTTGCGCTCACGCAGCGTCTTCACTTTGGCCTTGCTGGTCTTGGTGAGGCGCTCAATGGTTTGATTCTTGTTTTCCTCGGCCTTTTTGGCAGCTTGGAGCCGCCGCTTACGAGCCCGTTCTTCTCGCTTCACCAGCATCTCTTCTGTCAGCTCCTTGGCCTTGTATCCCATGGGCAGCTCCAGCAAGGGCTGGCTCTGCTGTTTGTGCAAGAGGGCTTTCTGCGGACAGAAAGAGGAGAAGGGATGGCTGACAACACCCATCTAGATGCAGAGGCAAGAGGAAGGCCTCAGTGCCTTATGGCACCAGCAGCAGCCAGGAGGTACCAGAGAAATTATGCCATCCCAATAAAGGCCCTCCCCTGATACGGTAGAGATCCTCCTTGGCTACACACCCTATATCCTCCTCTCTGGGCCCAACCTACATTGGATGCCCCCTCTGCTCTTAGAACTGGCAACCAGGATTATGGGGTTGAGGGGGTGGTATAGACCAAATGTGGACAGGAAGGTCCTGAAGTTCAGAAGGAAGAAGGCTGACTTGGCTTAGCTGTAGAAGGGACACCTGCCTGGCTGCTAGGAGGCAGAGGGGGACATGTAGCAGAGTAAAGTAGCTGGGGACTCCTAAGATCCTCTTTCCTTCCCCCACCTGAGCTCACTGATGCTGCCATGGATAAAGGGCCTCTTCATTGCTCAGTGGTCTTCTTGGCCACAGGAAATTCTTGCATTAGGCCTAGTTCCTCACCTGCCGGGCAGTGAGCAGAGACTCATCCACCTCTTTTTTCAGTTCCCCGTTGTCATCCAGCTCCCCACGCTCCAGGGCATCCAGCCACCGCTGCTCCTCTTCTTCCTCCCGTGCTGGGAAGCCCATTTCTGGATCAAGTTCTGGCAATGAGGATGGCTCCAGGTTGCTGTCTTCATCTGCGGAGAGAAGAGGATTCACCTCGAGTGTGGCCAGGGAGATGGAACACCTCCTTTTTTGATGCTAATTTGTATGTTGGCATTTAATTCAGAATTTGCAGGATGAGTACCAAATAACAATAAGGAGATGCCAAGGAGGTCACCAACCTTTGAGAAAGTTTAAAAAAAAACAACAGCATTGGTAAGTCTTCGTCAATCAATAACTATCTCTGGAATTCTACTCTAAAAGGGGTTGTTTTCATTGGGCAAATTGTACAGCCCTTCAATCCCGCCCCCTTCAACCCCCACAGTTGTTTGGTTTTAGATGTTAGCAGACAAGGGCCACATACTGTGAGGATGAAGAGGCACCTGCTAGGACAAAAGAGGGAAATAATTATCTGACTAGGCTTGTCTGGCGGCTCTCCAGGGTAAATAGGAAGAGCCGGCGTGGCTAAGCAACCTCTCGGGATGGAGAGAAGGGACCCGCTACTTGTACTCCTTCCCACCCAAACACCCAAAGAACGTTCAGAGCCCGCGCTGCTCACCCAGCCACGCCCGGTACTGCTCGATGGGCACGCCTTCCATGGGCTCCTCCTCGTCCTCTGCCCCCATCAGTGGGGAGGGGGACCGGGGCCTCTCGGGGATGACGCTGAAGGTTGGGACACTGGAGGGACAAGAGCAGGGGGGGCTTCGAGCGGGGCGTGGCAACAGCGGCCACTTAGCTCCGCCCCGGAGGGTCCCCGGGGGAGGCAAGGGCGCCCCCTCCCGCCCCCGGCCACCCACCGGGATGCGGCGACAACCGGCAGCCGGCAGGGAAGAGGCGCCCAGCGCCCGCCTACCTCTTGGTGCCCAGGATCTGGCCGCCCAGCTTGATCTTGAGCTTCAGCTGCGGCTTGGGCAGGGCGGCCGCGGGGTCCAGGCCGGGCTCCTCCCGGTGGTGCCGCTTCTTGTGCTTCTTCTTGTGCTTCTTGTGCTTCTTCCTGTGGGCGCCGTGCCCGCCCGGATCCTCCGCCGCCGCCGACGCCTCGCCTGCCAAGAACGAGCCGCTCAGGTCCCCGCCAGGCAGCGGCGCCCCCGACCGGCCGCCCCGCCGGGCCCCGCTTACCCCGCCGGCCGCCCTCCATCCTGCCGCCCGGGGCCTCCGCGCGACGCCACGCCTTGCTCATCCTCGGCCGCCGCCGGGAGCGCCGCCGTCCCTCTTCCGCCGGAAGGAACCGGAGCCGGAAGTCCCCTGACACGGCCCCGCCCGCCAGGAGCGACACGGCGCAGGCGCCTCAGTGGCCCTCGGTTGCGGCCGACTCTCCTCCGGGTGCTGCTGGCGAGTGGCGGGCCGCCCCGCTTCAGCCCTCAAGGAGGTCGAGGTAGCGGGGAGGGGAGGCGCAGAGGGAGTGGCCCCGCGGGTTCAGCCACTTCAAGCTGGGTTGGCCTTCAACTCCCAGAATTCCCAGCGAGGCGCGGGACTCGAAGCCTGGAATCGGCGAAAACCGCCGATGGAGACGGAGGCCGGTTAGGGACAAAAACTAGCAATCGCGCAGCGTCCGTGGCTTCCGCACGGCGGGGGGTGGGGGCGGGGTGAATCCTTCCCTTCCCGAGCAAGAGAGAGGCAGAGGTGGGTTTCAGCAGGTTCTGACCAGTTCTGGAGAACCGGTAGTAAAAATTCTGACTGACCACACCCCCATCTATTCTCTGCCTCCCGAGTCCCAGCTGTTTGGGAGGAAATGGGGATTGTGCAATATCCTTCCCCTAAAGTGAGGAGGGAATGGAGATTTTACAGTATCCTTCCCCTGCCACACCCACCAAGACATGCCACGCCTACCAAGCCACACCCACAGAACCGGTAGTAAAAAATGTTGAAACCCACCACTGGAGAGAGGGGCACCCGGTGGGGCAGGGCCAGAGCGGGAAACCAGCCGCGCTGCTCCAAGGGACGCGTCTTAGTTCTCCGGCAGACGGGTGCCTGGTTCCATTTCCCTCAGCTAGGCCTGCATACAGCAGACGAGGCCGGAGGCTCCTCGGTCGCTTCCCCGCCTTGAGCCAAAGGGAGGCTGGATGCTGGAGCGCCACTACCGTCAGGCGCGTCCCACTCAGGCCGAGGAAGAGCGCCGATGCGCCGCGACTCTCAGGTCGCTCCTCATAACCAGGCCTGACAAAGGGCGGGGCACCTCTTTGGGTCTCTGGCTGGGAAGTCGCAGCTCTGGCAGCGGTTCCTGCTCTGCATGTGTTTTTTGGGGGGGGTCACACAATGGCCTTTCCTAGCCCCACAATGTGTCTGAAGTCTGCCTGGAGGAAGCGCAGAGCCTGCCTTCAGCTCAGCATCAAGGGCTGCCTTGCCCTGCCCTGCATGCAGCTGAACTGGGCACTCGCTCGCTCCCTTCTCTGCTTTAGGGACCATCAACAATCCAGCTCTCAGGACGGCCATGATGCGCTGAACTAAGGGAGGGCAGGACTTCGGAGGGCCGCTTCTCTTAGCTGCTTGACACGCTCCTTCTGTGAAATGAGAATCAGAACCGTCACTTCTGACATCCCTTTCAGAAGATGCAAAGGGCCATTCTCCCTTGCTCAACAATACACAGTGCACTCCCGCTTCACTTTTGTCAATTTTGTTAGGCTGCTGCCTAATTCTACAGTCATTGAAATTCATTTTTTTTCTCATTAATCTACGCTCAGTACCCCATAATGACAAAGTGAAAACAGAATTTTAGAAATGTCTGTAAAATTTATTAAAAAGCAAAAACCCTGAAATATTACATTGGCATAAATATTCAGACCCTTCACTTAGTACTTTGTTGAAAAAATCTTTGGCAGCAATTACAGCCTGGAGTCATTTTGGGTACGATACAATAAGCTTTGCACACCTGGATTGGGGGATTTTCTGCCAATCTTTGCAAATCCTCTCAGTCAGATTGAATGGCGACCGTTGGTGGATGGCCATTTTCAGTCCCTCCAGAGTTGTTCCATAGAGTTCAAGTCAGAGCTCTGGCTGGGCGACTCTAGGACATTCACAGTTGTCCCTAAGCCACCCCTGGGTTGTCTTGGCTCTGTGCTTAGGATCATCATATTCGAAAGTGACCCTTTGGCTCAGTCTGAGATCCTCAGTGCTGTGGAACAGGTTTTCATTGAGGATATCCCTATGCTTCGCTGCTTTTAACTTTCCCTCAATCCTGACCAGTCTCCCAGCCCCTGCTGCTGAAAAACACCCCCACAGCATGAAGCTGCCACCACCACGCTTCACTGTTGGGATGATACTGGGCAGGGGATGAGCGGTGCCTGGTTTCCTCAAGACAACTTTTAGAATTGAGGCCAAACAGTTCAATCTTGGTTTCATCAAACCAGAGAATCTTGTTCTTCACAGTCTGAGAGTCCTTCAGGTGTTTTTTTGCAAACTCCAAGCGGCCTTTCATGTATTTTGCACCAAGGAGAGGCTTCCATCTAGCCACTCTGCCATAAAGCCCAGATTGGTGGATGGCTGCAGTGATGGTTGTCCTGGAACTCTGTCCCATCTCACACAGGATCACTGGAGCTCAGTCAGAGTGAGGTCAGAGATTACTAAGGCCCTTCTCCCCCGATTGCTGAGTTTGACTGAGTGACCGGCTCTTGGAAGAGACCTTGTTGTGCCAAATGAATTATGACGGCCACTGTGCTCTTAGCAACCCTCAGTGCAGCAGAAATTCTGAAACGGAGACAGATTGGGCTGGACAGAGAGGAATAGCAGAGCAGGTTTTCAGCGAGTGAGCCAGCTTGCTAGTTAGGACTTACCCAGCAGCAGCAGCCGGGCACCTAAAGCAGGGTCTCCCAAAGTATCTCAGAGTTTTTGCTCTTGTTTATTTGGATATTCTCCCATTGGCCATCCTGGAGGTGGATGTAAGAAAATTCCCCATCAGGAATGACTGCCCACTGGGGGACAGAGATGTGGAAGTTCTTGCCAATGAAATTTTGTACTGTGGTGTCAACACACTCATGGACCTGTGATGTGCAAAATTCCAGATGCTCCAGGTGGCATCTGTCTAAAATATTTTCTTGAAGATGAGGATTCAAAAATCACCTGCCAAATAGAAAAATACTAATGGCATGTTGAATACAGAGGAGCATAAAATGTAGCAAGATAAGGATTTTAGGAAGGTGTTTAGGAAGGTATAGATCTTCCCAATCAATAGGTCTTAATCTTAAGTATTCCAGGATTTCAAATGTTAAAAATTTGGTAATATATTAAAATACTGATACATTAAAATAGTATTTAACGATCTAAGCATTACAGTAAATCAAGCATCTTATAGATCTAGCATCTTCTCAAGTTAGTTGAATCATTTTTTGATTCTTAAAATATTTTGGCTATTTTTCTACTCCAGTTGTCTTACAGCACGTTTTATCATCTTACAGAAGCTCTTTTTGTATTTTGAAGTAGGTATGTTTTATTCATCATCGACTGCCATGAAGGCTGGTCACCCATTCATTCACATAGTGGTAGGGTTGGAGTAGACAGATTCCAGCACTATGTGGCAAATAGCTACATCAGCCTTTTATTTGGGCACTGCCGAGGCAGGCATGCACAAAGGGCCACCAGGAGCATTTCTTGCTTACATGGTTACAAAAATTCTAGAAGAATTAATCTGGATAGAGAGGGAAAACGGGAAAGAGATGTACAATCTGTTTTTACTTCAGTGTTTACTTGTAACATGCCCCAGTGTAGAAGAGGAAGCCCCCCGAGGCATTTTGGTGCCAAGTGAAAATGCATGTTAAAACAAGCAGAATTCCAGCTTCCTTAAGTCTGTTCTTTGTGCTCTGAAGCGCTCCCCGTTCCCCAGCTAGTGAAGTCACCAGCTGGATCATCTGAGCCTGGCATCCTAGAATACAAAGCTGACGTATTATGAACCACACAATGGATCAACGCAGTGCAGAAGGGCATAAGCAGCTGGGGTGGGTGGGGGCTAAAGGGCCTGAGTGAGGGTGCTTGGCCAAGAGAGGTCAGAGCCAGGACAGCTGCCCTCATGGACAGTCACAGGAATCAATTATCAGGTTTAAGAGGCAGCAGTTCCTTCTGCTGCTCTGACAAAGGCCTGGCATTTTGCTCTTGTGCTGGGCATCATCTCTGTGAGAGGAAGGCCACTGGCTAGCATTCTGCCCTTTCTGATGTGAGCCACAAAGGTGGTCTCTGCCCCTCCCCCACCAGTCAGCACTCTTGTGAGGATAAAGAAGTACAGGCCTTGCTCCAGAGGGCAGGCTGAAAAGCACACCTGGAGTTTCCGGAGCTTGTAATAGGCACCCTCACAAAATGGCTGTCATGACACAAAGCTCCATGGCTCAAAGGAGCAAGGTTGCCTCTGTGCTCTAGGAGGTCTTCTGCCCCCTGTTGACTGCTCTCTCTTTGGCCTGGGAAAGTCTGCCCCTTCTGCTGGGGGTGGGGGGGGGTTGCCTGTCCCAGGAGCATTCTGAGAAACAAGGATTCTGCATGAGGCTGGCTGTTGCTTCTGGAGTGGATCGGAACCCCAAAGAATTTCATTTGAAAAATCAGATCGGGTGCAGAAGGAGCACTCAAGCTTCCCTGGAGATCTCAGCCCTAGCCATCCTGGCTCCATTTGCTCCACCAGAGACGGACCCCCACATACCCCAGTCAGGCTGCAGCAGCGGACAGTTTCCCCCCCCGCCCCAAAGAATTTAAGCTGCTCCTGACTGGGAGGAAACTACCCAGAAAGCAGCATCCTTTTTCCCCATTGTGCCCCTCTGGTGTGAGGCAGCCAAGATCAAGTTGTGGCAGGCATGTCCCATCCCCCCCCCCGCCTCCCGGCAGCCCTGGGCCCAGATGTTTCCCAACTGGAGTAACTTTCCCAACTCAGCACAGGCCGAGAGGGAAGGTGCAGCCGCATTCCCTGTACCACCCTGAGTGGTGTGGGCGAGCCCAGCCCTTCCCTCCCAGGTGCTTTCTTTCCTTGCCTGACACCTGGGAAGGTCTGGCAGGTTTTTTTTATTTATTTATTTATTTATTTATTTATTTATTGTTTATATTTATATACCGCCCTTCTCCCGAAGGATTCGGGGCGGTGAACAGCCAACAGATAAAACAAGAAATGCAAAATTTAAAAACAGTATTAAAATCTGATTAAATTAATTTGGCCCACAATTAAAAGCACCCCTGTATTAAAACCCATAATTAAACAGTTTAAAAATTAAAACAATTTAAAAGAGTTAGGCCAGCCCGGCTTGTTGGAATAAAAACATCTTTATGGTACGGCGAAAGGTGCATAGATCCGGGATCCGCCGTATCTCCGGGGGCAGCTCATTCCAGAGGGTAGGTGCCCCCACAGAGAAGGCTCTCCCTCTGGGGCTGCCAGTCGGCATTGTTTGACCAACGGCACCCTGAGGAGCCCCTCTCTGTGGGAGCATACTGGTCGGTGGGAGGCTACTGGTGGCAGAAGGCGGTCTCGTAAATACCTGGGTCCTAAGCCATGGAGCGGTCTAAAGGTGGTAACCAATACCTTGAAGCGCACCCGGAAGACCACCGGGAGCCAGTGCAGTTTGCTCAAGAAAGGTGTTACATGGGAGCCTCGAGTTGCCCCCATAACCACCTGTGCGGCCGCATTCTGGACCAGTTGGAGCCTCCGGGTGCTCTTCAAGGGGAGCCCCATGTAGAGAGCATTACAGTAGTCCAGGTGGGTCCAGGTTTTGAGGGGAAGGGAGATTCCCTCTTTGAAGGACTTGCCCAGCAGAATTAACCCCATTTCTGGGTCTAGGCAATACATTAAACTGTTAAGATCACCTGGCACTCTGGCCACTCTCTGGCCGCTCTCCACACCAGGCGGGTAGGAAGGGTTGGACAGTGTCACCAGCTGGACAAAGGACAGAGGACTGATCCAGAACGCCACTGCAGCCTTGCTGGATCCCTTCCCTGCTATTTTGCTTTTTCCCTCTATTTTTGCTCCTCCCGGTTTCCCTTTTAGGCTTTATTAAGACAACAAGCAGGGCCTCCTTCTCAAGCCACTCCCTTGGTGTCCGGTGGCCAAAGGGGTTAATGTCTCCAGCTTTGGGCATGAAAGCTTCAGGGTAAAGAGTACCCCGACAGCTGGGTTGGGTATGGGGGGTAAAAGGGGCTGCAATCCTGACCCTGCCTTGTTTTTCAGGTTTCCACATCATCTGATGAATGGGTCGTATCCTGCAAATGTCTAGTTTGGGTATGTCCGATGAAAAGGAGGACTAGAGGAGACATGATAGCAATCTTCCAATATCTCAGGGGCTGCCACAAGGAAGAGGGAGTCAAGCTATTCTTCAAAGCACCTGAGGGTAGGACAAGAAGCAATGAGTGGAAACTCATCAGGGAGAGAAGCAACTTAGAACTAAGGAGAAATTTCCTGACAGTTAAAACAATCAATCAGTGGAACAGAAGTTGCCTCCAGAAGTTGTAAATGCTCCAATACTGGAAGTTTTTAAGAGATTGGATAACCATTTGTCTGAAATGATCTAGGCCAGGTTTCCTGCCTGAGCAAGGTCCCTTCCAACTCTGTTATTCTAGTCTAAATCACTCTTCCATTTTAAGTTTTAGTTTTTTAAGAGTCACAGTTGCAACTCGAACCCCGGTCCTTCGTTGCATATTAATTCTGTTGCAGCCAAACTGGCAGTTTAAAAAATCCGGAAGACCTTCAGAAGTAAGGCAGGATCCACAGCCCGCTATCCGGTGCCCTTGTGTTTGCCTGGGGTGATGGCTCAACTGCTTGGGGCAGCCAGCCAGCCAGCCAGCCCGCCCCTCCCTCAAA